GGTGGAGGGGCACCACCTCGCCCTCTGGGCTGGTGGTCTTTCGCACCACCTGCATGCGGATGGTGGCGCTGATGATCATGCTCTTGCGGAGGTCGCCCACGCGCAGCATGAAGCACAAGCGGCCATGGCGCAACGCGATGACTGCATGCTTGCTGAAGATGAGGGTCTCAGCCCGCCGGTGGGCCTGGGCGGTCTTCATGAAGATGCAGCCCAGCATGATGGCGTTGATCATGAGCCCCACGATGTTCTGCACAATGAGGATCAGGATGGCCAGTGGGCACTCCTCGGTCACCATGCGCCCGCCGAAGCCAATGGTCACTTGGACCTCAATGGAGAAAAGGAAGGCAGATGAAAAAGAGTTGATGCTGGTGACACAGGGCACGGTGGCGCCCTCTCCGTTGGCCAGGTCACCATGGGCAAAGGCGATGAGCCACCAGACCATGGCAAAGAGCAGCCAGCTGCACAGGAAGGACATGGTGAAGATCAGCAGTGTGTGCGGCCACTTGAGGTCCACTAGCGTGGTGAACACGTCCTGCAGGAAGCGGCCCTGCTCCCGGATGTTCTTGTGGGCCACGTTGCAGTTGCCCTTCTTGGACACGAAGCGGGCCTTCCGCTCCCGGGCCCGGTACCGGGGCTCTGCAGGGTCTTCCGCTAGCCGTGTCAGCACATACTCCTCAGGGATGATGCCCTTGCGAGACAGCATGGCTCCAGCGACCACCAGGGAGAGGCTTCACTCATGGGAGGGGAGAGTGCCCTCTGACCAGCCTCTGGCCTCACTGTGGGGTTCCCTCCCTGGGTACCCTTCCACTCTGGGTCCTCAGTCTATGCTGGTCTCATTTCTGAGATGCCTCCCCAACCAGTCTCATCCTCACCTCCATCTGGCCCCTGCTTCACTTTTTATACTAGCCTCACACCCTAGCCCACCTGCCCATTGCCTAGTGAGCTCCCACTCTGCCAGTTCCCCACCTGGCCCTGGACCTCAGCTCCACCTCAACACTCCTTTCCTGCTGACCACCCCTGGACGCCCCCCTGTCTAAGATCCCTTGTCTCCACCAGCATTCCTTCTTAACCCACCTCTTCTGTCTTGGAACTTAACACCTCCGGTTATTATCACAACTGACCAGACCTCACACAACTCCCACCGTATCTTCCACCTCACCCATTTCTGCTCCTGAGCCCTCTCCGCGCTAGTTTCATATCCTGACCACTCCCCAGTCTCACCTCCAGGTATGCCCACTCCTTCCTACCCCAACCCCCGCGTAGCGCTCTCGCCGCTCTTTGGATCCCTCCTCCAGCTTTCGTCCTCTCTGTCTCCTTGGGGTCCTGCGCCCTCGAGAGTCGCCACCCCACCCGGCCCAACTCCAGATCCCCTCGCCCCAGCGTGACCTGACCGGGATCACTCCCAAGTCGGGTCCTCCTGTCCCCGCGCCGGCCGCACGCACGCCGGCGCCGCGCCCCCGCCCCGCGCTCCGTCCCGGCCCCGCCCGCTCGTCTCCGCGGCACCTGCTCCTGCTCTTCAAGCCGCAGCCATCGCCTCCCCGCCTCTTCCTGACGTTGGGCTTGGGGCGGGCTGTCCTCCAGCGTGTCTGTCAGTCCGCGGAGATCGACCCGTGCTAAGTCGGGGTGGAAGATTGAGGGCAAGGGCCGTGGGGAGCCGAGTGGGGGCAGGGGCCGCCAGAGGGAGCCCGACCTATTCCTGAGCCCAGATTCAAGCCCCGCCTCTCGCCGTCCACCTCCTACTGCCTGCTTTCTCCAGACTCAGTCTGGCCTTGAGGGTTTGCCCAATCAGGTGGACCAAAAGAGGTCGCTTCTGCCCACGGTCTATGAAATCAGGGCGGGATGGAAGTGAAGGAAGTCGTGACTTGCCCTCCCACTCGGATCGGCGACCCCTGTCGCCCTGGCTCCCTTTTGCAATTTTCCTATCCTCAGTTTGGACGCAGAGAAAGGAGGCGTGCGCGGAGGGGCTGCATAACCAACCCCGTGACACGGAGAGATTAGGTAGTCGGATGACTTCTTATCTGCCTGCTTCTTCTCTTTGAAGAATACTCTTAATCTTTTCTGAGTCATGGATCCTTTGGGAATCTGATGTAATCCACGGCCTCCCTTCCTCAGGGGTGGGGGCGGGGGAGAAAGTACCTTAGAAGGTGTAGGAACACAATTGAATACAGGGGATGCTGAATACAACAGCCCAGAAGTCTGGGTGGTTGCATCTTCTCAACCAAGACTGCCCCCTTCCTCAACACCACCCCTGCACTTTAAAGAGGGTTTGAGCTACCGGCACTTGCTTTTCACCTCTTTACACCCACGGCCTGACTCCTTCAGCCTTAGGTCATGACACGCACTTGGGTCAGTGGGGCTCTATTAGGGCCAGCTTGGGCACTGGGGCACCCAGGCTCTTGGCCTGGGCATGAGTGCTGTTTCTACTGCAGGCATTAGTCTAGCGTTGACCTGTGGTTTAGGCCCCAGGTGGGAGGTCCCCAGTTCTCATCTGAAAGGGAAAGCCTGCTAGCTCTCCGTTGTGGCAGTAATGGCCCCACTCCCTCTCTGGGGCTCAGGTCCTTATGGAGGGACCCCTGACCCATGTGTGTCCATTTGCTGGAGTGGCGGCTTGAGGCAGGGGCTGGAAATTTAGGGACAGTGGGTGTATGGGCCTCTGGGGGGCCAAGTGTGACTTTCATATTGAGTTTTCCTCTTTTTCTCCCTTACCCACCTGAAGGCAGGACACTGCTGCTCAGAGTGAGCATGATCTTGGGCTATATTACCAGAGTGCAGTGCTTTGGGTGGGGAGGGGAAAACAAGGGGAGCAGAGTGGGGAGCTCAAGGAGCTAGGGTTACACGGGAAACCTTTGGGACAACTACAGCTGTTTAGACATCAGAAAAAGGAAGCTTGAAGAGTTCCTCGGGGAGTTTGGGCACTGGTACAGAAACTCTTGGACCCCAAGTGTAGACCCAGTATACATACTGTGTGGAAGAGAGACAGGCTTTGATTTTGCATATGGAAGAGTCCGTTCTAATAACCAGGGATGACCCACGTCTGCAGGGTATCCAAGTCAAGGTTGGCAGCCCATCAGGGATGCTCTAGAGCGGTTTGTGCCAGGATTGCATTGGGTATCCCTGCAAGACTTGAGTGTGGGCCCTGCTCCTGGAATTCCTTGCAGGGGGCGGGGCATAGGATCATGCGGGAATCCTCTTGGCTCTGCTCCTGGGAGGCCCCACGCTGGAGAGAGCTGATGGGGCCCCAGAGGCATCTCAGAACCCTGCCTCTCAGCAGAGCCCTGAGGCCTCAGCTATTCCCTGCTCTGCCCTTTCCAGGAGCGCCAGTCCACTACCCAAAGGGCTCAGTCTCCTCCCCTGATCCATCCTGCACCTCCTCCAACTCATCTCCTCCAAACACTGCTCTTGTCAAGCCCTGTTCTCACTCAGAAAACTTCTTTACATCCCTTTTGTTCATAGGCTTATCCTAGACTTCTTGTCCTAGCATTCAAGGCTCTCTGATCTTATGGCCCCCACCCACCATCTACAGGCCCTTTTCTCTAACTCTGCTCCCCCCATGCCCAACTCAAATCCTGCCTCCCCAAGCAGCCTTACAGGTCTGGCTCCTAGAACATTCAGAAGGGTTTGTGCTGCACCTGTCTCCAATGACTGGTGGGTTTTACTTATGTTGTAAGTTTCTTACCTGTTGCAGGCAAGGGGAATGCAGGCCCAAGACTCCTGGGTCTGCACCCTAGAGCCTGGTACAGCCACTACTGTAGGCAACATGTAAATGTAATAAAATGATATGTAAGTGAGCACCTGCCATTTCTTGGCTGAGGGCAGGTGTGCAGATGGAGTCTGGGGACAGCTGTTGTTTGGGTCTCCTATGTCTGGGCCCCAGCATCTCCCAGTCACCACCTGGCTGACTAGTGGTGTGCACTGTGCTTTCCCTCTGGAGGGCCACCTTCTTCTGCTTCTGAATGCCCCACATGAGGGGTGGAGATGGGGACATGTGATCGAGGCCTAGCCAGTCAGTTTGTTCCAGCCCTCTGACCACAGTGATTGGAGGTGAGGATGTGACCCAAGTTGGTCAATTGAGATTGGCTCCCAAGATTTTTGCTGGAACTATTAGGAAAGAACATCTCTGTTTCAAAGGATAGGGAGCAAGCTGGAGCTGCTAGTGGCCATCTGTCATTGGGGACGGAGAGGAAGAGGGAACCCAGAAATGGAGACACATCCCTGGTGTCAAACACCTGGACCAGCCGTGCTTGAAGTAGTACATCTCCTGTCCTTCTCAGTCACATATGACAATAAACTCGTTTTCATTTAAGCCATGTGGAATTGGGCTCCTGTCACTTGCATGAGAAATGGTGCTAATCCACGGTTCTTGGGGCCCCACAATTGTAAGTCCAGGAATTAAAGTAAGAAGGACAGGGACCAAGCTATAAGGAGATCTGCTACCTTATCTGATGAGATAATCACAAAAGTGCCATATCTCTTGTTATGTGTTGCCCCCAAAAATCATATATTGAAGCCCTAAATTCATACACTGGAAAGCTCTGCAGTGTAACTATATTGGAGACAGGTCCTAGGAGGAGGTAATTAAGTTAAGTGAAGTCGTGGGAGGGGAGCCCTAATCCAGTATGACTGGTGTCCTAATCAGAAAAGAGAGAGACACCACGGATGTGCATACAGAATCCAGAAAGCCCATGAGGACACAGCTAGACGGTAGCTGTCTGCCACCAAGGAGAGAAGCCTCAGGAGAAACCTAATCTGCAACATCTCGATCTTGGACTTGCAGCCTCCGTAAATGTCAGAAATAAATTTCTGTTGTTTAAGCCACACAGTCCTTGGTGTTTTGTTACAGCAGCCCAAGGACACTAATACACCTTCATTTCACAGAAAAGGAAACCCGAGTTTGCCCATGCTTGCACACCTTCTTCAGTCTGCCTGATGCCAAGGTCACGCTGGCTCCTCTGGACCCTCAGTCCACCCCAGCCTCTGCCTACCGGAACCAAGGCCTCTGGTAGGAAAGAACCAATCTCTTTATTTACAAGTGATTTACAGTTAGAAAACTCAGACGGGAGGTGGGGCCAGGATGGGGCATGGGATGGCACTGGGACTCCAGCAGGTCACTTGTCTGCACGGACGAAGGAGGCAAAGATGCTGTCCTTCCGGCTGAGCAGCTTCTCTGGCGTGTCGAACTCAAGGATGGCACCCCGCTTCAGGACAATCACCAGGTCTGCACTCAGGATGGTGTGCACGCGGTGCTGGAGGGGTGGGAGGGGCTGGTCAGGATGGCAGGGGAAAGGGCAAGGCAACTGAGGGCATCCCCCCTGCAGGGTGAAGGGGAAGGCATTTGGCCAGGATATCCTGCCTCTGTGGTGACTGACCTTTCCCAGGGTGGCTGTGACTCCAAGCCATTCTCCCATTAATGACATCCTCTCTCCTCACCAAGTCTCGCTCTGCCCCAACCTTCAGGCTTCACGTCTCAGAAAGCCCCCACCCCCTTTCCTGTGGAGCTGTAACCCTAGCCTAGCTCACAGGGCCTTGGGACAGGGGCAGGCCTTGAAGCTTGGACAATGAGAGGGAAGATCTGAGGGACAGGTAGGTACAAATCCACCCCACACCAAATCCTGCAACCCAGGGTCCCTGCAAGCCCTCCAGACTCCTTGCCCTGTCCTGCTCCAGGGTCCCTCTTGAGCCCAAGGGTGGCTCTCTCACTGGGCATACCCCTTGCACCCCATCAGCGAGCCCCTTACCGCAATGGTGACCACCGTACGGTCTGCGAAGGCCGTCATCACCACCTTCTGGAGGATGTTCTCCTGCCAGGTAGGAGCGGCAGCTCTTGGCTCACCTGCCCAGTGCACGTGGTCTGGCCCAGCTTTGGGGGATGTGGGGCCTGACCCTGATCCTAGCCCCACCCCTCCCTCTGTCGGGCCCTACTCTGCATGGGATCAGCTAGGTTCCCAGCACTCAAGGAGCTCAGCTCCGGGCTTGTCCGTGTGCTGTGCGTGTGTCTGCAGTGTGCTGGGCGGTGTGAAGTCTCTGTGGATCTGTGTGTAGCCTGTGTGTATGCAGGTTATGAACATGCCCCCCAGGACTAGCTGGAGTCAGGGCCCCCAGCCCTTTGCCTTTTCTGCCAGAAATGGTCTTGATGTTCAAGGCAACGGCAATGCCAGGACCACTTTGTGCAAATTTCCCCCTAACACCCACGCCCTCTCCAAACCCCCACCCCATGGGTGTGCCCAGGACCAACCGTGGCCATGTCGATGGAAGCTGTGGCCTCGTCCATGATGAAGATGCTGGTCTTCCTCACGAAGGCCCGTGCCAGGCAGAACAGCTGCCTCTGGCCCTGGCTGAAATTCTCCCCCCCTTCCGTGATGATGGCATCTGAAATCAGCCGCAGGGGGAGGGGCAGGGCTGAGTGAACCCTGCGCTGTGAGTAGAGCGGATAGTGTGGCTTGGGGGTGTTGGGAGATGTCTGCACAGGAGCAAATATGTGGTTGTGTCCTGAGTATAGGCGTGTAGGGTTGCTGTGCCTTACACAAGAACATGGATGCCATGGATTACAACGAGAAGAGCGCCCCCTGGAGTTGTGTGCCGCTGGGGCTCTGGGCAGTTCTGGGAGGGGTGTGTGCACTGAGTATGTGTGCTTCGTGTGTGGGCGTCTTGGTGGTGTGGTTCTCTGGAGCCAAGGTTTGGCAAGCCTCTGCTGTCAAAGGGGCTGCAGCAAGCATACCAAGGCCTGCCGGCCGCTGGGGTGGGGCCAGGGCCTTCCCAGTAGCTTTGAGGAGTGCCCCGTGCTTGGGGTTTCCCAGTCTGTCCTCTCCTTCCTCCTTCCGCCAAAACTGGGCAGGCAGGTGGACAGGGCAGGGAAGGGCAGAATACACCATCGCAGTACCAGGACCTGTAAGCTCCATTTCACGGTGACTCCCCTTGTCCCTTCTGTGCCGGACCCTGAACTGGCCAATTGTGTGACCTGGGGCCAGTCACTTGACCTCTCGGAGCTCCAGTACAGTGAGAGGGAGGACTGAGTGGTTTCCGGGGTCCTGCCAGACCTTAGACTCCAAGTTCTGGGCACACCCAAGGCATAGGTCCCCCGACCCCCACCCCCAGCTTTTACAGACGCCCTTTAGCACCGTATCAGCCGCTGAGCCAGCAGCAGTTACCGAGGCCTCCCGGCAGTGCCTTCACCACCAGCTTCAGCTGGGCTATCTCCAGGGCCTCCCACAGAGTGCTGTCGGAGCACTTCTTCTCTGGGTCCAAGTTGAATCTGGAGTGGGACACAGAAAGCCCCGCTAGGAAGGGAGAAGGGTACTGGCGCCATCCCCAGGGGGCTTGCAGAGGGTGAGGCTGGTGAAGGGAGAATTGGCTGACGTAGGGTTCTGGCTGGGAGATGGGCACTAAGGTGGCAGCACCCCAGACCTCAGGGTTGGGGTGCCCCTACCAGTGCCTGCCCAGGCCTAACGGGAAGGAGAAGGGCATGAGGGTAAGACTCCTCTGAAGAACCAGAGCCAGGCCCTCGTGCTCGGGGCCGGAGCAGGGCTCTTGCCCAGGGAAGTGGGTGCCCAGCTAAGTGCTCCTGGCCCTGCCCACCCCTCCTCTTTGCAGATTCAATGGGTGAAGCCGAGCCAGGCCTGGGCGGGGAGACGGGGCTCACCGGATGGTGCCACTGAAGAGGACGGGGTCCTGCAGGATGATGGAGAGGCGCGAGCGCAGGGTGTGCAGCGGCAGTTTGGCGATGTCGATGCCGTCGATGATGATGCGCCCTGCGTGGAGACCAGGTGACGGGTGGGGCACCATGGAGGGGAATGGAGGTGCTGGGGACAGTTTAGCCTGGGACTTGGGGCCCAGGGCGGATGCAGGGGAAGACTGTGATTGCTGGGCCCCTGTGACCATACACCAGGACTGAGGTTTCATCTAGTGGCTGTGGGTACCTGTGGGGTGCCCACCATACCCCTCACCTTCAAACGTGTCCACCATGCGGAAGAAGGCGAGAGAGAAGGAAGACTTCCCACTGCCTGTGCGACCACAGATCCCAATCTGGAAAGAGAAGCACAAGTGTGTTGCAGGGGCTCGGGGGCGTGGTATCCAGATGCTGCAGGGCAGGGAGGTCACAGCATATCTTCTTGTCCTGGTTTTCTCACCAGTGTTGGTTTAGCCAGGGCTGGACCCCAGGTTCGGGCTTGTTTCCTGCAGCGGGGGTTCCTATGGGGACCTACAAGCAAGTGCAGGGGGTACAAGTCTGTTTTGCCTGGACCTGGGTGCGGCCTGGCTGTGCCTGGTACTTGGCTGCAGGGGAGTTGGGGGCACTGGTGTGTCTCTATATGCAAGGGTGTGGCAGGAGGGCAGGGGTGGCTGAGTGTGGTGTGCGGCGGTGTGTCTGTGTGTCCCACCTTAAAATGGAGCCATCTCTGGCCGCATCGCTTCCTGGCCCTTGGATACCGACAGAAATGACAACAAAGAACCAATACAGACACAGAGATAGTGAGAGACAGAAGAAGGGGGGCAGTGGCAGAGAGCAGAGTGGGAGTGAGGAAGATGGAATCAGTAAGAGAGGCGGGTCAGAGTGCCAGATGGGGGCGCTCTCCCCAGGACAAGGGTGGCCTCACACTCTGCCCCTAGGCCCCTGCTGTGAAACTCAGCAGAGGACAGTGCCCTGGCAGAATCTTGACCATTTGCAGTGGGCAGGGAGGTGCTGACAAAGCCCCTTTAACCAGGGGAGCCTGGGGTGTCCTCCTTGGTGGGTGAGTGAGGGCAGCAGGAGGAGGAGGGGCGAGGTGGGCTCAGCCGTGTCAGGTGAGGGGCTCAGGGTCAGGAGACTGGGGGCTCCGAATGGGTGTGAGACCCGTGGGGCCTGGAGCACCAGGAGGTGGCTCTGCAAGGCTGCCAGCCCTCTGTCCCCCCACCCCCGCCCGGCCCCTGACCTTCTGTCCCGGGGAGATGAGGGCGTTGACGTGCTTCAGCACGGGCTTCAGGGAGCTGTCGTAGCGCACACTCAGGTTTTGGATCTGGATTTTCCCCTGGTCCGGCCAGTTCTTCGGGATTAGCGACGGTGCTGGGGGCCCGGCTGGGGGTCAGCCGCTAGCGTGGGCCACAGCTGGTGCCCAGCAATACCACCCTACCCCCAGGCTCCCTCCTCCCGGCCCTCTCCCCAGAGCCCTCTGGCACCCCTCACCCAGCAGCCCCTCATAGCTCTCTGCCTCCGTTTTCAGGAGCCCGTGGATGCGTTTCACGGCCCCCAGCTGGATCTCCATGTCCGCCAGGTTCCTCACCATCCAGTTGAGGTAGTTAGACACCTATGGGGAGGGATGGTCACAGTAAGTGACCTGTCCCTGGCCACCAGACGGTCTTCTTATAGCTGAGGAGGGACCGAGGTCCCTGATATCTTTTGCTGCCCACTGGCTGGTTGTTCAGGGTGGCCCTTCCTAGAGGCATGCAGAGGGATATAAGGAGTGTGGTTCCTCACCCACCATCCGTCTGGGGCCTGGGCCCTGGGTGCAAGGCAGGACCCTGCAGTCAGCTTGCCCACCCGCATCAGACTCAAAGCAGCCTGGGGTAAGGCCCAGGGGTGTCTCATTAGGAAAAGGTGTCCTGGGATTCCCTGGGTGCGGAGTCTGGCCTCTCCCTGGGCCTGGCCCGCTGTCACTCACCATTAAGGCATAGGTGAGGCCCAGGCCCACCAGGCCAGCCGAGAGCTCCCGGTGCAGGGAGTTGGAGATGGAGGTCACGGCCGCGATGAGGACCACACATGCACCAATGTACTCCTGTGGAGGGACAGGGGCTGGCCTGGGCCCTCGGGGCTGCAAGCCACAGTGTCCTCCCCTCCTGCCCTTCAGGGCAGAGAGTAGCTCAGCTGAGCCGAGACTCAACGCCAGCCCTCACATCACCTAAACATCAGCAGACACACAGCGCACCTGCGAAGGCTGGAACGCCAGGAGACAGTGAGGGCACCCCTATACCCATTCACCTGCACACATGCCTCACCGGCTGGTCCACACAGGTACATAAGTGTCACATGACCTACTCCAGACACACACTCATCACAGTTAAACACACATCTATTCTCACTATTTGCACACTCCTCAGGTACACGGTCCACAGGCAGTAATATGGAGCAGAGGGGCCTCAGGGCGGACACCAGGAGGACCGTCGGGGTTGGGAGAGGCAGGGGGGCCTCAGTGCCCACCCTGCATGCACACACGAGCTGGTATTCCACAGTGCTCCCCCTCTGGTTCGAGTTTGTTTCCCCCTTGCTCTGCAGAGCTCCACACCCCTATCAGATGCTCTGTTCTGGGGCCTGGGGGCGGCAGGTGGGGGGCACTTGCCATGCGGACTTCTAGCCATCTGTTGGCGGCCGTGAGGAAGAGGGAGGCAATGTTGTTCGAGTCTGTGTATTCGAGGAGCTTCTGCTGGAACCGGGCCTCGTACCTGGAGGGAGGGTGAGGTTGGTCTGAGGAAGTAATCTTGGTTCACGTAGCCTCTGGGAGCCGTCCCTGGCCCTCTAAGGTAGATGAGATCTCTCTGTACCAGGGACTCTGGGAGCTCCTTTCCAGCCCCCATGCCCTCCTCACATTCTCTCCTGAGCTTAAACACACATGTGGACCTGCCTCCTCCCTCTGACCTGCCCGGGCTCCTGGCATCGCTCTCCTTGGCCGCCCCTCAGACCTGGCCAGCCGGGGCCAAGCCCAGGGGAGGGGCAGGAGCAGTGGTGTGATGATGAACAACAGGATGAACAAAAGCCATCTCAGCACCGATCTCAGGGACACAACTGAGGGGACTCAGAGGGACTCAAGACAAGCCTTGTTGGGCATTTGCTTTTCACTCCTGGAAGGTGTTTGTTCTGCTTTGATTATTTCTGGGCGGAGGGCCTGTGAGTGAACTGTGTGTGAGGACAGTAAAGTGAGTCTCTGAGTTGTGAGAGAGCGTGCATTTGCACAGCCACGGGGTGGATGCATGTGCAGGTGCTGTGTGAGAGGCAAGTGTGAAACCATACCACTGAAGGGCTTCAGGAAGTGTGTGTTGAAGGTGTGTATGTGAGGGTGCACATGTGTGTGACAGGAGAGTCAGAGCATCTGTGACTGCTCTGAGGGATGAGTGTGCATGAGGGTGTGTGTGAGCTGCTGTGATAGGTGTGCCACGGTGGAGACAGCCCCAGCTTTGGGGCCGTGGGGACCCAGGCTCGAGTCCAGGCCTTTCCTTACTGGCTGTGTGTCAAGACTGAGCCCCAGTTTCCTCACCGGATAGTTATAGTTCCTACGTGGATGGCAACAACCTCTGAGCCCAACGCTGAGCCCAGAGCTGGGTGCTCTTGGAAGATTTTGTGGGGGGAAAGTAGGACTCTTAGAAAAGCCAGAAGGTCAGACAGGTCTGGGTTACCAGCCCAGCACCAGCTCTCGCTGACTGTGCAGCCTCAGACTGGTTGCTCAGCCTCTCTGGACCCCTTCTCCCCGTTTTAGTATGGGGCTACAGCAACTGTGTGCTGGGGCTCTTGTGAGGATTAGATGCAATAGTGTGTGTACGACACTTAGCACAGGGTGGGCTGCTGGGCAGGAGCCAATGAATTAAACACATCCAAGGGATGATACTCAAGTTCTTCATTCACTTAAAAACCATCCACCCCATCAGTGCAGGGTGTGGGAGGCCTCGCTGGGCAGCAGTTCCTCTGGCTGACCACAGGCTTGCCCTGGGACTGGTTGCAGGATGCTGGAAACCACCTGGATCCTACTGAGAGGGTCTGGCCTCTTCTAGGAAAGTGGCAGGCCCTCTGCCCCAGGTCCAGCCTGAAGATCTCGAGGACACCAGTTATATATAAGATAGACATCACCAAAACTTAGAGGAGGGGCTAGCCCAGGAGTGTTAGGGACCTGAAAGTTGAAGAAACTGGGGAAGTTCAGGCTTGAGAAGGAGGCTGGGAGGAGACCCCAGAGTCTCATGCCGGGCTCCAGGCAGCTTCTGTATGGAAGACAGCACAGGCCTGCAGGGGGGCAGGGGCTGTCCTGGGAGCAGAGCCAAGGCCAGGGCAGAACTTGGTTTTCCTTTGTTCTACTAGACAAGACCCTAAGAGGACCACACCAGGGACCTGGGTATCTCTCCCAAGGCTGCAGCTAGACTTTGGGGGCTTTGGGGGAAGGATGTAAACTTCCCTGGACCCTCTCAGCTGGTTCTTGGGCCCTAGGGTTACTCTTGGACACAGGCCTTGGTGTCACATGGCTCCTGTCACACCCTGTACAGCTGTGCCATTCTAAAAATAACCTGGAACCACTCTCTGGTTGAGGCTTAGATACCAGAGCCCAACTATCTGGGTCAGGGGTTTCTGACCTGTCTGGCTGGAGGAGAGATGCCCCAATACATCAGACAGAGACTGGGGAGGGGAGCAAGAGCCCCCAAACTCCTCCAGCAGCCTCACATGCTCCTGTCCAGTCCAGCATCACAACACAGGGTAGCAAGAGGATGGCAGGGGCACTGAAGTTTTAGGGGTATTCCTCCAGTCTGGTGAACTTGTATCTACCCTTTGAATCCTAGCTCCATTGCCACCTCCTCTATGAAGCCTTCCATGACTGCCCTCCCTCATGTGCTCCCACAGCTTGTATCCCCCTTTCTTTCAGAGCGCCTGTCACATGGGCTTGTCCTGGTCTGCTCAAAGACTACAATGTAAATACCTCCAGGACAGGAGCTCATCTGACTCATATCTTTTCAGTGCCTGGCATGGGGCTTAGCGCATGGTAAATGCTGAAGTTTGTTGAATGAATGAGCAAGTTCAAGTCTGGGCTTGTTCAACTCTGAGCCTCGATTTTCTTATCTGAGCAATAGGAATAATCGTTGACACCAGCTTGGATTATAGGGCGGAATGAATGAGATTGGCACGGAAAGGACTCAGCATAGTGTTTGACTCATAGGAGGTTCTCAACAAAAGATCCCTCACGCTTACCCATATGATTAAGGGCCTTTCTAGCATTGATATATGAGGGCTTGTCCCAGCCTCAGTTCATAGAGGGCCTGGGCCTGGCTGCAGGGCTGAGGCTTCCCGCTCTGGATCATGCAGTGGAGCCCACCTGGCCTGACCCCCCTGGTGGACATCATCTGAGCCTGGAGGTTTGAGAAGGGGTGGGGAGACGTATGTCCTGGCCCTTCCTAAGTGGAACCCTGAGAATTGAATCTCAAGACCCATGACCCCAGCCCCACCCCTGCTCACCCCCATCCTGGGGTGAACCTGGTACCTGAAGGCCCGGATGGTGATGAGGCCTTCCACAGTTTCCGCAAAATGCGAGAGCAGCGGGAGCTGGGTGGTGTCATCCAGCTGCTGCAGGTCCCTGTGGGCGGGGCGGGGAGCAGAGGGGGATGGTTAGGGGGACAGGCTCAGGGCTCAGCCTGGGTCTGAATCCTACCTCTACCCCTTGGACCACGTGGGCAAATGGCTTTGCCCCTCTAGATCTCTGCCTTTCACCGGCAGAGCAGGAGGTCAATGGTACCACCCCTTCAAGCAGTGTAAGAACTGGACAGCTCGTTTATGTAAAGTGTGTAATCAGCGTGCTGGCACAGTTGTGCTATCCTGGGCCTCCCCTTCCTCTCGTCTGCAGCTCCGTCCCTGTGCTTGAGCTGCAGGGTCTTGCTCTGCAGCAAGACGGGGCAGGCAGCGTTAGCTGCCCATTCACAGGAGAACAACCTGAACACTGAGACACTAGTCAAAGGAATAGAAGGGCCAACTGGAAGCTTCCAGTCCCTCCCCAATGACCACAATAGGTTTCAGCACGTCACAGGTCAGAATCTAAAGAGCACCTTCAGGGGGACAGGCCAGGGGTTTCCATGGAAACAGAATTGCTCCTGCCCTCCACAGCTGCACCTTCCCAAGTGCCTTAGGGCTGGGGTGGCCAGGTTGGGATGCAGGAAGCAGCTTTCCCAGACAAACCGCCTCCAAAACCGCCACAGTGGGTGCCAGGGGACTAGGGCAGCTCCTCTGGCAGGAGAAGGGAACCTTGTAGAACAGCTTGTATAGTGTTCAAAAGGCCACCGTGGTTCTGTGACTGTCAATGTACTATGTTCCTTGTGCGTACCAGGGGATTCCGGGTCATCCAGACAAAAAGCCATTTATAGAAATCTTAGTCCTGTGGTCAAGGTAATTGTGGCCAGGATGTACCTAAATGTAATTATCACAACTGCTAATCAGCAGTTTGACTCCAGTTTTTAGCCAACATTGTGCACTTGGGGAAGGGACTTAGCCTCTCTGACCACGGCCATAGTAAGACACACATTTTGTACCACACATCCGCACACACTCACCCCTACACCACCCAAACAGAGCTTTCTCGGGGCAAAGCTACTGTCACTCTGTGCATATAGTCTGTTATCTGTGCTATTTAATTATTTTACCAATGCTGGTTGTGATCTCTGATACTGATTCCATGACCCACGGCCAGGTCGTCCTTGGCAGTTTGAGACATGGGGTCTCTGCAACTCTCTGAATCTACGAGCTTAACAGAATCACTCCCAGAAAAAATTTCTAGAGAAGATTCGTAGAAAACTTTGAGTAGGAAAGAGGCACATGTGGCTCCAAGGCTCAGGAGGGCGAGCGTGATAAGGAGAATCGTGAGAGACTCCCTCGTGACAGGTGGCTGGGAGGTGGGGTTGCTGTAACACCCTGCCCCTCAGGTGCCCTCGGCCTGCACGCCCAGCTCTCAGCCGGCTGGACTCACACAACCCTACTGAGAAGCAGTTTGGTGAAGAGAATGCAGGGCATAAACATGTGCACACGCCCCGACCTGGAGTCCCATTCCTGCACAAGCTCCCACAGAAACAGTCCGGATGTTACCCTCAGCGTGGGCGCTGCTGACACTCGATTATTTATGTTAGTGTAGTGGGATGCAAACATTTCATCTCCTTTACGTCTGTTTGCCTTTTCATGGGGAACCCGACTCCACCAGTGAGGGCTCCAACAAGAGTACCAAACTGCCCACGGCAAAGCACCTCCCATCCTGCCCCAGCCCCAACCTCACCTTGGGACCCTGGCAAGTGACTCCCTCACCTGGATGCCACCCGGAAGTACTTCTGGATGAAGTAGCACACGACGGCCAGGGGCAAGAGGGCCACGAGGAACACAGGTGTGACGTAGGAGATGACAGCCAGGGCAGAGACGCAGAGCAGGGTGGAGCGGCTCAGGCACTCCAGCGTGGACGGGATGTGCTGAGGGAAGGGAGGGTAAGAGCTGGAGGTGAGTTTTGGTGTTTGATGGCGTTCGGTGTGCTGCCCACTGCCAGGCTCTGTTCCTCCACCTTGTTACTGCCAGCGGATTTTCTCCGCAGCTACACCACAGGCTCCCTGAGGGCAGGGGCCGGGGCTGTCTTTTCTCACTATCTAGTGCGGTGGTGGAGAAAAAACAGGGGCTTAGTGAAAACAAACATTCTCCACAGAATCGGTCACCTTGGTTCAGAATATGCCGGAACCTTACTGGAGTGAGCCAGGGGGCTCTTGGATGGAAGGCAAGGGCATGCGGTTTTTCTCAGCCTTGTTCTGAAGGCCTACCAGGAGGGCCTTATAACCAGATTGGGGCCCTCTGGGTCCCTCCCCCAGGGCCCCGGTCATGGGTTCTGGGGAAGCCAGCAACCGACAGGGGCCGAGCCTCTCTCTGAGCTGGAGAAACGGGTCAAGGCCTGTGTACCTGGTCAATGGTATTACAATCAGAAGAAAATCTGTTCAGGATGCTTCCAAGGGGTGTGGTCTCAAAAAACCTAAGAGGCAACCAGAAGACATGATTCGTTTGTTGACTGAATAATGAACAAACTGTTCATTGAATGAGGTAGTTACTTCTTTCCTTTCGGTGTCTCTGGAGTCGCCCCTGCATCTAACTCCCCAGGGGAGGTGGCCTTGGAAGGTCTGTAGACCCCTGACCTGAGTCCCTCACAGCAGCCCAGTAGGGTGCTGGCCCCTCACTAGCCTCTCTTACTACCAAGCCCATGTGTGACCACTGCCACCTTTCTCGGCTGCTCGCCAGGCCTGACTCACTCAGCAGCTGTCCTCCCCGGGACATAGAGTCCTCTCCAGAGGGACAACCAGTCAAAGGGACAACCAGTCAGGGGACAGGGCCCCGGGTACAGCCTGTCAGCTGGCTGACCCTGCAAGGCTACTCTGGCTGTCATCACTGCAGCTGTGACAAAGAGGCAGCCCACCCCCAACCAGAGTATCCAGAACCACAGTTCTGGGACAAATGGAGGGTGCGTAAACTTTGAGGCCATGCCTCTGAGCTGCAGAGAGCTGAGGAGGCTGGAAAGTAAATATCGTAGTTAGATGGTGAGGTCTGGCATGGACGAGGGTGGGGCCAGGCAACCCGTTCATTCGCCTGCTGTGTTGTTAAGCCAAACTGACCAGCCAGATGGTCAGTGACTTCTTTCACACCAAGCGGTCTTTGAGGTTTTTATTCAGGCCATTACAGAATATTAGAACAGCTACACCATGTCCCCAGTGTCAGCACCTGTGGGCTGGCTGAGGAAGGACAGAAAGGAGTGGGGAGCTGAGCCCGTGGGTGGAGACGGGCAGACGGTACCTGCCCAGGGAAGAGAAATTAACGTTGTCACAGAGCCTGCAGGTGCTCCCTTTGAAAGACTGCTGTAACAATGGGATGAGTTAGCCCTGTAAAATGCCTAGCACTGTGTCTGGCTGAGTAAATGCCAGTTTCCCTCTGCTTTCTGCATCAAGGAGGGCACTTTTATATACACTTGAGGCTCCTTGAGTCATGCCCAACAGCCTGTGACAGAGGTTCAGATGGGACAACTGAGGCCCCGGTAGTAGTGAGTTGCCCAAAACCCCAGCATGGTGGGGGAGAGGGATACCTCATGGGAGCGAGGATGATCTGGTTCAGCAGGCTGCGGTGCAACCTCTTGGCCACCTTCAGCCCCGTCCACTCCACTGTGACAGATGTGACCAGGCACAGCACAATGCCCAGGCTGCAGAGCACCGTGAATACCATGGCGTAGACGTTCTTGTCGAGGGAGCATTCCTGGGCCAGGGAGAGAGTGAGGCAGGGTCCTGGGGGTGTCCATGGCTCAGCCTTCTCTGCCCCACCCCCAACCGCTGCCCCAGGGCTGCAGGCCCCACCTGGCTGAAGGAGCAGTTCCTGGCCATGGGGCTCACAGTCAGGGCACTGTCGGTCCACTTGGCCAGCCAGTAATCAATGGCCACCAGGACCATGTGCTTGAGCAGCTGGGAGAAGACGAGCAGCGACAAGAGCAGGACGCCAGCAGACGACAGATACTTGGCGCAGGCTCGCCATGGGATCTTGGCGCGCTGGTGCAGCAGCGACGACAGGTTGTCCTCCTCCTCGCTGTCGGCGGCCTCCTCTGCGGGCCGAAAGAACCCACCTTGTGGCTTCACATTTCGTGACCCCTGAGGGTGAACCAGGGGGCACACTATGCCCACTGACAGAAGGGAAGACCGAGGGACTGAGACACACAGAGGGAAGAGTGTAATCAAAGGCATACTATCTTACCACCCTCAGAACCTCAGACCTTAGTCTCCCAGGGAATAATCAGACCTCAGGCTGTGATTTCACTCCCAGTCCCACTGTCTGTACCTTCCTCCTCTTCCTCATCCTGTAGGAGGCCATCTCTTGAGGACATGGCCCGGGGTAGGCCCTGGGGTGGCTCTGGGACTTTTCTCTCCATGACGGTCTCCTGAAAGCCAAATGGGGCTTGGCTAATGTCTTCTTCAGGTGTGCAGAGGGGAAAAGGGAGGAGAGGGGGCAACCATCCCTGGTCACAAACAGTGTCAATTTCCACATTCCTCCTGACTTGAGGAGGGTCCAGAGGGATATACTTCCCCTTTATCAGCTGACAGCACCCCAGTGTCCTTGTGGGGCACCACCTCTCTCTTGTTCTTAGTCTCTGTGATTCAGGAGGGCTGGTCATTCTCCCTGACTCCAGACGTGGGCATATGACAGGACTGGCCAATCCTCACCTTCCACATCACTGGTTACAATGATTTGTTCAGATGTGGGCATGTGACCAAATTGGACCAGTAAGAGCCAGCCCTGGGACTTTTGCTAAGCAATCCTGAAAGAGACACTCTCTTTCTGGCAGTTGTCAATCTGGGAGAATATAAACCTCAGACTACCAATGGCCCTCACTGCTACCATAAGAATGAAGCCAATCTCAGGGGAGCAGAGCCAAGGGATGGGGAGAAACAGAGCCCTCATGACAATGTTTAACTGCCTGGATCCAGCTCTCCCTGAAGCTATGACACCCTTGGACTTTCTAGTTTCATGATTTAATACATTCTTAACTCCTCCTGTCCTTTTTTCTTTGCTTAGCTACTCAGAGTTGATTTTCTGAAACTTTGTAAACTAAATGGTGCTCGACTGTCTCAGGATGAAGGGAAGGCGTCCACCTGACTCTGCCTTGGGCAGTGGGCGCAGGTACTGGCTCTCCCCTGCTAGCAGCAAGTTCGTACTCAGCTCTCACATCTGACATTTTGGGGGGTTTCCTGGGGCTGGTGAGGGCAGGAAGGCCTTTATGAGGTTAGTTCTAGCAGAAGCTTCTTCTCAGGGGGTGGTTGCCTGGCCCCTAGGATATACCCACCTTCTCTAGCTCTTGGTCCTGCCGGTTCATGAGGGTCTTCCAGTGCTCAAAGAGCTGGCACTCACACCTCTGGAAGTCCTTGAGCGTGCCCTCCCTCTGGATGGTGCCGTCCTTCATAGCGATGATCTGGAAAGGCAGAAGCAAACCCTGCAGAGGGCTGGCTGGGGATGGGGAGTGGAGGTCACACCCCGCCTGACTGAGGAGGTAGAAGTGGACAGACACACATCCTTTCCCTACTACAAATGACCTCTGGCTCACCCACTGAAATGAGCCCATAGTGATAACCAACCCTCATTAACACACTCCCAGGGTTTAGAATTTGGTACATCTGGGGCGTAATTCTCAATGGTTGCCCATGATGGATAGGAGGGTTTGCAGAGCAACTTAGCGCATCCTGGTCAAGCTGTTTGGTTATCTGCGGGGTGGCTGTGGCAGCTGTTTTTATACATGCAATGGGCTAATTGCACACTCCCCTTAGCTCCTCCTCAAGGCGGGTCTGAGAGGACCACCAGTTTTGGCAAAGTACCCGTTGGTCAGAGTGTGTGTAGCCATGTCTCTTTGAAATCAATAAAACTTATTTTATTTGAAACACCCAGTGTTTCACAGTCATGTGGACCCATGATAATTCAGACACCTACCCCTGCCCCTCTCACCCCCCACTCCCCACACTGGGGTTTAGGGAGGGGTGCTGGGAGTCCTATCTACTGATACTTCCAGAAACCAGGCACTTCCATATTTGCCTGCTTTGGATTAAGGATTGTCCTGCACTGTCTTGCCAAGGTCGCCATGGAGACTCAGACTTGAACCTGGACTTGTTTTAGCTTTTTTTTAAAATCTGGATTTTTTCCCTTTTTCTTTTTCTTTTTTAAAAAAGACTTTATTTATTTTTATCTTTAGAGAGAGGGGAAGGGAAGGAGAAAGAGAGGGAAAGAAACATCAATGTGTGGTTGCCTCTCACGTGCCCCCATCTGGAGACCTGGCCTGCAATCCAAGCATGTTCCCTGACTGGGTATTGAACTAGCAACCTTTTGGTTCATAGCCTGTGCTCAGTCCACGGAGCTACACCAGCCAGGGCTTTCTTCCCTTTTTCATAGTGGAGGGAGGGTCTCACTACATGTGGAAGGGAGACTTATGTGGGGGGAATTAGAAGGGCCACTTAGCACAGGCCTGATGCTCAGGGAGGACCTCAGTTCTCAGGGGCAAATTTATATAAGGATCAGGTGAGGCACAGATTTCAAAAGTCACACGATTTCCATCTTAAGAATTAAGTGCTTTTCAATGAATGGAAAAGTAACTGTTTCTGCATGCTGAGGAGTATGGGGATTCAGTCAGTGTGGGGGTTCACAAAACTGCATTCCATTGATAATACGGAAATTTCTGTTCCTACTGCTGTCACTTGTGTCCATCTCCTCCATCTTGTCCTCACTTGAATCCAACCCACCAGATGGCAGGAAGCTGGTTTTCCTGTCCAATGGGCACTTGCCTAGCAAGGGGGATGAGATATCCGCCTGAGTAGGAACAGAGGTAGGAACTGAATGTCTGCTCCTTTCCGAGCCTTCTCGGTGCCAGCCCTTGTGAGACCCGGGCTAGGGTGGGGAATGTGGGAGCTGTAGGCGACACCAACCCCTGGGCTATGCAGGGCTCCGATCTGCCCAGTCTGCACGTGACCAGCCAGTGCAGACCTCTTCTGCGTGGTAGCCCTCAGCCATTGCTATGGAGCCTCTCATTACCTCCTCTGAAGGAGCCAGACTGCCTCCCCCACCCCAGCCCTCTACAGCTTGACCTCCTGCGGCCCCTCACCCAGTCTGCGTGTGGCAGGTACTGTAGCTTGTGGGTCACTAGGACCACTGTCCTGTTATCGTCTCTGAGGAGCTCGAGGATCCCGGCCTGCATCAAGTGGTCACTCAGATGGACATCCAGAGCTGAGAAGGGGTCGTCCTGGAGAGAGGGGGGAAGGTAGGGGCAAGTGTACAGGGAGGGGTGACAGTGAGTACAACACCTAGCAGAGTTACATCAGCTCTGGTCTAGGACTGACACTATTAGCTGTGTGGCCTTGGACAATGAGGCTCTCAGGGCCTCAGTTGCCTTAACTTAAAATGGGACTGCCTTCAGTTAGCATTCTCAAATGGATCTAATCACAATCACTTCCTGACTCCTGACTTCCATGGCTCTGCAAAGCCTGTGAAGTTTGAATCCCTGGGCGTGGGAACCCAGGCCCTTTACAACCTGCCGGTCTTCCTTTCCAGCCTCACTGCTCATCTGTACTGCCCAAGGTCTCTGCACATCAGGTTTCCAGGGAACTTGCCATTCCAGGCCTGGTATCTAAACTGTTCCCTCTGCCTGGAGCACGGATGCGCCGTTTGTCTGCCCGGTGAACTACCGCCTGTCCATCTGCCATGCTCCACCCTGTGCCCTTTCCTGACCCTACCCTTCGCCTCCCCTCCTGTGTTGCAGCGATAACCTGCACCAAGGCTGATCCGATAGTTATTTACAGGAGGTCCCTAACAAGTGAGACCCTCTCCTTCCCTCCAAAAGAACTGAGACGCCCTTGTGACAGTGCCTGGTACAGAATAGGAGTTAAATAAAAGTTTGTTGAAATAAACTAAAAAATCTGCTTTATTTCTCTCTAACAGCGTCGCTTAAGGTTCACATGGGGTCGTGGATGAGCTAGTACTTGGTGATGTGCTGTGCGTGAGTCAGATGTCGCATACCGCAAACCTCACATAGTGAGTGTGTTTAGTGGGGAGTGCTTATGGGTGCTGTGGGGGAGAGGGAACAAAACTGGGACCAGGGACCTGAGGTTCCTTCTCTCAGTTCTTTCTCTACACAGCCTCTGTTTCCTTCTGTTTAACTGACTCACACTTCAAGGCCCTCCTTCAGGACGCCCTCCTCCAAGGCCCTCCTCCAGCCCTCACGGCTGTCTTCTTGGATAAGGCTCCTCACAGCCTGTGCTACACAGTTTGACTCTTGGCTGGGCCGTGGCCCTTGAGAGTGGGTGAGCTCTGTCTCCCTAATCAGACTCTAAACCTTTGAGGCCAAGGGCTGGGCCTTAGAATTCTTCAGATCAACCAAGGCACCTAACACAGAACTTGGCACGAAGTAGGCCAGGGGTGGCTAATAAGTGTCATGTCCTATTTGATGGCTGGTGGTTACCTGGAGTGCTGTGTTGAGAAGGGTTCTGAGGCCAAATTAATGTTCTGTGGGGGAAATTCTGTGATCAGCTAGCAATGTCTGCTGTGGGCATGAGATGAGAAGGGGCAGCACACACTCCACGCCCTGGCCATCCTTATAGTCAGGCTGAATGAGTACTGAGAGGTTGGGCGGGTCCTGCAGAGTGGTGGCCCATAGCTACTACTCGCCTTCCCTCAGAGGTCAGTGTGAAGTCCACAGTGGGTCGTTGGTGCTAGCCTTGCCTCAGTTTCCCCATCAATAAGATGAATAAGTAATATCTCTGGCAGGAGAAGTTTGCTCCTGAAGAAGGAGGTAGCTGGGTGATGTGTGTGTGTGTGTGTGTGTGTGTAAGCAATGAGCCAGGGAGACAAATCAGACACGAGGGCCCCTAGGGAGGTGCGAGCTGGCACACTCACCAAGAAGACAACGTTGGTATGCTGGTAGAGAGCTCGGGCCACGCTGATCCGCTGGCGCTGACCACCAGACAGGTTGATGCCCTGTCACCAAAGCGGAGGAAAGGTCATGCCCTCAAAGCCCTTCAGGAGAGACTGTCCTGGCCCCTCCTTGACTGTGAGCTCCTTGGGATAGAGGCCTGGCTCTGTCCACCTCTTTGTTTCCCCCTCACTTTGCAGAGAGAAGGGACTTGTACATGTTCACTGATCTCACTGGGAAGTGGGGAATATAACCTCCAAGACTATAAACAGTCAGCATATAGGTGCAAGGGACCATCTGACCAGTGAAACCCAAGACAGAGGACATAGGGATTTCATCAAACACAGGAGGGCAGCCACAGGAGAATCCTACTGTCCCACCTGAGAGTAAACTGGGAGGGCATAATGCTAAGTCTAGCGCAGCACGTGGAGCTCCCAGGATACACTCGGGGCATGGCTGAAGGAGACGTCAGTCATCTCCAGCCTGGGGAGGTGCTAAACTGACCTCTGCACCAAGCAGGGCTGAAACCCGTCCTTGCTCAAGGAGATCGTTTTGACCCTACTGCACGGAGCTTTGCAGGCTTCACCCTCTCTCACTCCCCAGGTACCTGCTCTCCCTGAGAAGATCTCGGGGCCTGGAGCTGGTGATAGGTGGGGAGCAGGGGTGGTTGAGGCCCCTGGTTTTGAGAAAACCCCCTGGAGGCTCTACTAACCCGCTCCCCAATCTGGGTCTGGTCTCCATGGGGCAGGATGTCGATGTCCGGCTGTAGGGAGCAGGCTTCAATGACCATCTTGTACCTGCAGTGGGGTGGGGTGGGGACATGGCTGATCGGCCCGGCGGCCGGAGTGGGGCCTGAGCGCTCGCCGAGGGTCATTAGTCTCCGGGCAGCTGTGCCCGGGGTGAGCAATGGTTTTAATGGGCCTCCTGCTTGGGTGCGAACAAACACCACGTGAGTTTTAAAAAAGCCAAGGGCAGCACCTTCCACGGTCTTGGAGCAAGTTAAATATTTGAAGGATGGAATTAGATGGCAGCAAACATGCCACATAAATGACAAGAGAGGGCACGTGGTCCCTCGGCAGTGGGGAAAGCAGCAGCCAGAGCCCATGCTTGGGGCGCCGCCAGGGAAAATCACTGCTGGCTGGTTTAGGCGGTAATGATAATGGCTGGTCAAATATTTGCCCAGCCTGCTCCTTTCCCACTTCCTTGGCCAGCTCTTTGCCCGGGCAGGTGCCAGCCAGGGTGCACAGAGGAGGCATCAGGGTGTCTTAGTGACATGTTCTTGGGTGTCAGGCAGTCTTGGATTTGAGGTCCATTTCTGTCACTTAAGGTCTGAGTGGCCTTAGGCATGTTACCTAACCTTTCTGAGCCTTGGTTTCCTCATCTATAAAATGAGAATGATAATAGTACCTGCCTTCTCAACTAGTTGTGAGCATTAGAGGAAATCATGGGTACAAAGAGCTTGGCCCTGCGCCTGACACCTGGTGAGAATCAGTCGATGTTAGTGGTTATCATTCACTGCGGGGGAAAGAGTGCACAGGCTGAGGCGCTGGCTCGGCCTCCCCACCAGCCACAGGACAGGGCAGTGGTGCTCCCTCATCTCCCTCTCCTCCCGCCTTCTCTCACACGGGCGTTGGGCTTCCCTGATGCCCAGCCACATCTGGACCGTTTCCAAAGGGACCATATGGAACAGGCTGGAATCCAGATAAGCGGGCTGGAGAGTGGGCGGCTGGGTGTGGGAGATCAGTGGAAGGGCGGAGCTGCTGGCTGGAGCTGGGGGACAAGGGCCGGTAGCTGATGCTGCCCATGACTGATGTCTCTCCTCCCCCAGCCTACCTCCCTCTGATGGGCTTTTACCGTTGTTTGTTGAAGGGACTCTCAAAGGTGATATTCTCCTCCACAGTGGCATTTAGCAGCCATGGTTTCTGAGAGGCATAGGCCACGGGGCCTCTCTTCCTGGGAAAAGCAGAGTGGGAGTAAGGAGGCATTTTCAGGGGCTCCTTCTCAGAGGCAGTTGTCAAGATGGTGGTGCAGACCAGGGCAGGGGTGGGGCGGCGTTAGGATGGGGAGGTGTGGCTGGCAGAAATCTGCTGCGTTTGGCCCCGCTGGCCTCCCCTTCCCCAGGGCCTGAGCTAGGCGTAGGTGTCCAGTCTTAGCTGACTGGGGGAAGCTCGATCCTTCCCTGCCCTGCACCCCACGTGCCACACCCCTGCAGCCTGTACTCCTTCCTGAGTCTCCACCCAGGGCCCAGGAAGAAACCAAGTGAACACTGGACCCCTGGTTTCCTCCTTTCTTGAACAGCTTCCAAACCATTCAACTTTGATGTTAGCAGGTAACTTTCCAAATGGAACTTTTAAAAACAAGTGGAGCCAAGGAAACCATATTTTGCATGATGCAATTTTTTAAGAACCAACCCCCCAAATTTAACAAAAACAAAAGGCAAAGATATCCACCAGATAAAAATGACCTGCTGTGAGGAGCGCAGCCGGGTGTGCAGAAGAGGCACAGCGGCGTCCAAACTGCCCAGTGGAGCACAGAGCCCTCCCTCCGGGCCTCCTCCCTGCCGCTGCACTGGGACCAGAGACTGCCTGAGGGAGCTCTGGGGCTCTCCGGCCCGACGAGCCCTCTGAGGAAGCCTGCCCTGGAGGGCAGGTGCACCCAGGACACAGTACCTGAGGTCTGCTTCAGCTGCTGGCTCCCTCTCTGGGCTGCAGCGGGGGAAGAGAGACGCACCTTCAGGATTCACATGAGTGGACTGAGTTCTGCACAGACATTCTGAGCTCCCAGCATGAGTGTCTTTATCATCCCTGGAACTAAGTCTGTAGCCACAAATGCTGCACGGAGGGGCGTGGGAGTGGGGTGTGGCCATCCTGGGGGAGCCTCCACTGTCTGAACCCCAGTAGTGTCAAGAATCCTCATGGGGTATGTGAGGAGAGCCCTGGGGGCCAGTTCAGGTAAGAGGGAGGGTCGGGGGAAAGGCACCGTTAGTGTAGGCTAATGTGGGGGGCACTTCCTGCATCAGAGGAAGAAGACCAACATGTGGCTCCTCCAGACTCAGCCTCTGCATCAGGGCTCAAGTGCACTGGCCAAGGTCTCAGGCTGACGCACCCACACAGACAGCTGGGACAGGGAGTGCTGTCTGGCCAGAGCCAGGCCTGGCTGGGTCACTGTTGCCTACAGCTTGTGGGTGGGGGCCTACAGCGGATGGAACTTGGGTGGCACGTAGAGAGCTGAGAAGGACTCTAGGTGTGATTAGCAGCCCCAAGTGGCCCTTTCAGAAGACAGCCAAGGAATCTGGGGATCCGCCCGGAGAGATGCTCTCCACTGCAGTGCCCACGTGGCCTGGACTGGCCTGGACTGTCCTGACCTGCTCCGGGACCAGCTATCCTGCCCTGCTGTTCTTATGCACATGTGCATGCTTGTCACAGACCATGAGGCCTGGTTTTTGGCTCAGGAACTATGGTCACTATGGCCAGAGAGGCTGGGCCTGTCATCACACCCTGGAGCTTCGGGACAAGGTGGCAGAAAGGGCAGAGAAAGATGGGGAAAGAAAACCTCGTCGGTGCTGGAGAGCGAAGGCCAGAGGTTAAACTGAACAAGGTTGAGCCAGCCTTCCTACCCTGACTGCCCACCACCTGCAGTGTGTTTGAATGTCTTCGGGAGGGTGAGGTTAGGGAGGGTTTTGAGGGTCTCAGAGTCTCATTCATCTATTTTACTTTGATTTTTTTTTAGACAACAAGAACATAAATCCCATTGAACATAAAGCAACAAGACCAGGTTTTTTCGTCTGACCTGGGGGCCACCCCTCCTCTCTCCTCACAGACCCACTCGGCTGTTTTTTCATGATCAACCCCAGGGCTGTTTTAGACAGTTTTTTTTCTAATTGTCCTTTCTTTGACACATTTCTCATCCAATTCACTAGGTTGTTGTTTTTTTTTTTTTTTTAATATTCACAAGGTTGTGCAACCATCACCCTGATCTACTTCCAGAACATTCTTGTCATCCCCGAAGTAACCCTGCCCCTGCCAGGGGTCACTCCCTTCCAGCCTTCCCGCCACCCTGTGGCAACCACAGATTCATTTTCTGACTCTTTCCCACCGTGAAATTTTACCACAAATGTACTGTAGATCTGTTTATGTACTGTGGCCCTTTGGAGGGCCACAAGTCCTTGTAACATCTACATTTTTCCTCTCCCCAGGAGGCGGATCTGGTGCTCATTGAGCATGCATGCCTCATTACAAGGCCTCCTGCCTCTGAAACTACAGAGGTCGCACAGCCCTGCATCCATACGCTGTGTCCCCACCACCATAGTCCCCCTCCCTGCCCGCCCCCACTATACCCCACACCCAGACCCTTCCCTTTATCGGGGCCCACTTCCAACTCAGTGCCAAGGCTGTACCTGGGGTCCTCTCCCGTCTCGCTGTCCGGTAGGCTGCTGGGGCACAAATGGGCCGGGGGGAGAAGAATACACCAGTGACTTCTCACACCATTGTCAATCTCTCCGTGGCACTGGGCCTCTGGGAGAAGCAAGCCCTACAGTCCCCACCCCCACCCATCTCCTGGGCCCCCACATGGCTTCCTTGGGGCAGAAACTGTTGCTCTCAATCTCTGTCTCCCCCGAAGCACCTGGACGGGCACCCTCCAAGCAGCCAGGGCTCCGTCAGTGCTGCCGGTGTGACTCAGAGCGGTGGCGAGGCTGGTTGGCACTGAGATAGTTTTACAGTTGGGAAACTAAGTGAGGGAAAGGGACCTTCCCAAGGTCACCATCATTTTATGAGTGTTTTCACACTGAGCAAGGGGACCCACTATGTGGATCTGAAATTAGTGAGTTGCAACTGCACTATAAAAAGGAGAAAAACATCCATGAGCACTGCATGTGGTCATAATGTACATTTTTTGGTGTGAAATTGTTTCTCTTGTTTATCAAGGAATACACGAATGTAGAGGACTGTGATGTCAAATGCATTTCATACTGCGGACTATAGTATGAAAAACACTGAGTGAGCTGACCTGAATTTTGGTACCAATTTTGCCAGTGCTCTTTCTTCTGCCTCAGGCCACCTCTCAACCTTTCAGAAGCAGCCTCCTGCCAGTGACATGTGTCCTTGCGACATGCACATTTGGGGGAAAACAACCTGCTTTGTCTTCATATAGGCCTTACTGTAATGATACTAAAACCAGCTAACATTTATCGAACGTTTATAAGCACTGTGATGAGCACTGTAATAGCATCATCTATTTTAAAGCTCAGAAAAACCACATGAGGGAGGGTTATTTTGCTTGTACCAAGAAAGTGAGGCTCAGAGTGGCTAAGTAACTTGCCCAAAGTCACACAGCCAACAAGTATCAGAGAAAATAGATTTGTTTGACTCCAAATCTTCCTATTCTTAATGACCGCGCTACATAACTGCACTGTGATTACACATGCCTTAGCTCTGATAAATGCCTCCTTGTCAGGAAAACCAGGATGGACGAAAACAGGGCGGACAGAAGCCTGAGGAAGCTCTTTTCTGTCTTCAGCCAAGGGGCAGAACTGAACGGAGACCCTGATATGCATGTAATCACTGGTCTCCAATCTTTGCGGTCTCATTCCACTCTCAGCCCAGCCTAGCATTGGGTTCCCTAAACCATCAGATAGTGGTAATTTATGGACAAGCTGGTAACATGAGACAGATTAAAAAAAAAAAAAACAAAAACAAAACCAAACCCCAAGCTTACAAATTCCAACTCTGCAGCCATAGCCCAGATAAGCTTATCTGCGGAGTCTGCTGCCTTGACTGCCTCCAGAGTTGCAGAGGCTGTAACTCATCTGGAGGAAATGTATCTGCGGGCTCCCCAAGGACCCAGGCACACACGGAGCTCTCCGCCCTAATTCAGTGCACATCACTGTCTGCACTGCTCAATTAGCCCTTATAATGGACTGTGTCTCTCTCTAATCAGTTGCTGTATCTTTTACCCCCAGTGGGATTTTAAGGCAGGAAGAGCATCTTTTTCAGCCCCCACAGAGCTGATGACAGACCTGTAATAAATGGAGGTTGTTAACTGACGTGTTAATCATTTGGGAAGAGGCCAGGGGACCGGCACGCAACGTAGGCGTCCGCATGCCAGGTGCTGTGTGGAGCTGTTTGTGTTCACCACTTCATCCTCACAACAATCCCTGTAAAGAGGTGTTTGTAACCCCACTTTACAGATGGGGAAACTGAGGCTTAAAATTTGCATAATGTGCCCAATAGTATGGAGCTGAGAAGAGGGGGAAGCTGGTGGGTGACTCAAGGTCTATCTTCTCCTCTTTCTAGTGTCGTCCCAGCCTCCCTAGAATGAGCCTCCCAAGATGAGTGTGTCTACATTTTAACCTGAAAAGTGAAGAATGGTGCACGTGGCACACACTTTCTGTCACTGATCGCTGGGCTCTCGAATGAGTGCTGGGGACCCTTGATTCCTCCTTTGCCTGCACTTGGGATTGAGCACTGAGCTGGAAGGACCGTTTCCCTCAGTTTTCCAACCTCTCATCTCTTCCTTGAGCCAGCCATGAGCTGGGCACGTGGGACCGCGCCAGCCTGAGTCAAGGAACAGGACCTGCCCTCCCAGGGCTCGAAGTGTGGTAGAGCGAGTCAGACACACACAGAGGGTTATAAGGGCCAGAAGAAAAGCAGGAGCAAGAAAGTATTACAGAAAAATTGAGAGGGAAAGTACATGCAAACACCTATGGGAATGCATAGAGAAAATTCTGGAAGCTTCTGGGTGAGGGGATATTAGGTGGTTGTTATCTTCTTTACACTTGTGTATCTTTTCTAATTTAGTGCACATCCTTCTAGATTCAGAGAAAAGTGTAATTTTTGAAAAGTAGTTTGGAGGAGGAAGAAATCTGAGGATGTGAGGAAGGGCTCTCGGAAGTTACAGTGGGCTGAGCCTTGAAGAGGGAAGTGCAGACAGTGGGGGTGGAGGGGCGCTAGGACCTGGGAGAGAGGAGAGCGCAGCACGTGAGCACAGGCATTGGGAGGAGTGGCGGGAACGTGGGCTCTAGGTCTGCACCCAAGGGGCTTCTCTGCTGGCTGGTTAGGCAAGTCCCTTTACTTAGGGGCTCCTCTGTTTCCTGCTCTGTGAACTGGGGCTAATGGCACAGACCTCAAAGTGCCGCTGGGAGGATGTAGTACGAATATAGCTCATAGCTGGCTGGAGGGAAAGACCTAAGGTTGGAAAACTGTGGCGGGGTTGGGGAGGGTAGGGAGGAGGGGGCGTGGAATCATCTTTTTAGCTCAGTGCTTGGTCCCAAAGGTGCAGACGGGGGAGGTTTTGAACAGCCTCAACACTCATTTAAGAACCCGGCAACAAATAAAAAGGGAGGAGGTGGAAATTGAGGTTGGAAGAAGCTAAGACTTACAGATCTCTACATTCTATTCATCCTGCCCCAGGCAGGCTTGTCATTGCCCTGAAACGTTACCTTTTTCACGCACAGTGCCCTTTCCAAATGATGTCATTGGATTTTAAGGGCCAATCTCTGAGAGAGGAAAGGGTTTTCTTATTGTCCAGTTAAGGAAACTACGTTTCAGGGAGGTGAAGTGACCTGCCCAAGGTTACATGGCTTAGTGAGTGTCAGAGTCGGGTCTACAACCAGCGGCCATCTGGTTCCCGAGCTTGGCCCCACACAGCACCCCTTCACCATCCCACCACACCTGCCTCCTCAAGGAAGCCCGGGGTGCACCTGAGCCCCAGGGCCCAAATCCCCAGAGACCCCAGGAACTATATGGGCAAATGGGACTACAGTCCTGAGAGGAGCCTACTTCTCACTCCTGGGGAATCAGGGGTCTCAGGAGACAGGCTTCACACCAGCCGCCCCGAAGCAACAGTGTGCTGAGCCAGGCCTGGGGCAAGCAAGGCCCAGCCTCCTGAGTGGACACAGACAGAAATAATAATAGTGGGGGCAGGGGCAGCAGGGGGAAGCAGGGGGCTCCACGTGAGGCTGATCTGTAGTTCCTCATAGGGAGGCGGGGCCTTCTTCCCCACACCATGCTTTCCTCCGAGCCTAGCTTCCTGCTGGCTCCCCGGGGACATTTAACATCATCCTGCTGCAGACATTAATGGCCCTATTCTTTATTTTCAGGGAAAAGATTTCACTTGAGTGTATTTGCTAACTGAGTATATTTACATTGAATAGATTGACTTTTTATCAAAATGTTTTCCTTTTAAAGATTAAGGAGAGAGTTTGCACTCTCAAGTTGATAGCGCATTGGAGCAGAGAGCCGGGAAGGGGCAGGTGACCATTATGGAAGTGAGTGTTTGGGAGCTGGCCCCGGTTGGCTGACATGCCAGATCTGTTCAGGGCTGCCGCAGTAACTCTCCAACCCGGAATGCCGGACCTCACCCGATGGACCCTGTGTGGCCACCATAGGGCCTGTCTGCATCCTCTGTCCACCCGGGACTTGTGAGCTCTCTGAGGGCAGGGGCCAGATTTGTATCTGCACAGAGGGGTTCATAAAATACACATCTTGTGTCAGGCACTTGGGGTACAACATGGAATAATCCTCCAGCTCTGTCCTCAAGGAGCTCAAAGTCTTGAGGGAGACAGACACATTGGCAGATAAGCACAATACATTGTGAGGCATGCACTACCGGGCCTCGTGCATTCCAAATGTTGGTGGAGAAGTCGGGTGGTGAAATTCTGGGTTAGGGGAACAGCGTGGGCAAAGGTGTGCAAGGAGAGACATGTAATGACACCTTTATAATGGCGATCTCTTGGAGGTCATAAGTTAGCAAAGCCATTGTAGGTACAGAGACAAATAAGATGTGGTCCCGGTGCCCAGGGAGCTCACTACAGTCTCTCCTGGGAGACAGGCGGGGGCACAATCAAAGAGCCATCAGGGAATATTGTTCCTGGCACAGAGGTTCATTGTCAAAGAATAATATTTAGAATAATGTTTATAGGGCACTTACTACATGCTAGGTCAAGCCTCACATCAACCCTGTGAGTAACAAGGGAAAACTGGTACAGAAATCACAAAATTTCCCAAAGCACAGAGCCCAGATTTGAACCCAGGCAGTCCGACTCCAGAGCTTGCTCAGCCACACTGCTCATTTGCTCATGAAGGAATAAATGCACAGTTGTACAAACAAACCCATCTCCCCAGAGCATTCTCCGTTCTGCAGTATCTAATCCCTCAACTCCCAGCCTCGTGCCCCCTGGAACTCTTTCTGGCTGCCAGGTCACCAGCCTTGGCCCTTGCTGGTATGGATGAGACACATCAGAGCAGCCTGGCATAGCCCTCGCCTCTGGCTGCGGACAGGAGGGGCTGCCGGGTCAAATGCCATTTTGCTCTTGGCCCACATTGCAAGTACATCATCCCCCTGCTGACCTGGGGTCCAATGTCTGAGGCATGGAACTCCTGCAAATAATGGGGGGGCCCTCAACATACAGCCCCGCACTTGACCCACTGGCCAGGGTAGGTGGGCCAGAGAGAGCTGTGTATGTGTCCAGGGTTTTGAGAGACAAACAGCACGTGAAGCCAACTCAACTATTTTGGCCCAGACTCCTCCTTCTTTAGCCATCGTGACAAGCTCCTGACTGGTCTCCCTTCCTAGAGTCTCCCTCTCTCCGATCTCTCACCCTTTGTCACCAGCATGATTCCACCGCAGACTTTAGGCTAAATCTTACCTCCCAGGCGTGGCACACAGGGGTGTCTGCCCGGAGGCCTGCCCCCTTCTGCAGTCCTGACTTCCACCACTACCCCCACCCCTCTAGGTACCAGAACCAAGTTCTTTCGCATCAGCAAGCCTTTGTGCAGGCTGATTCTCCAGCCTAGACAACCTTCCTCTCCCACCCTGCCTTTTCCATCCGAGGAAACCACACTCGTGAGTCCTCTCTCCTTGACTGCAGAGTTCATTGCTCAGTGATGGTGCCGATGTGCCTTCCCTCCCTTAAAAGCAGGGGCCATGTCTTATTCATCTTGGCAGTTCTCTCGCTGTGCCCAGGGCCTGGCACATAGCGGATGCTCAGTAAACACGGGGTGAGTGAGTACATCAGTGTAGAGGCACTGGAGCATGAGTTAAGTCACGAACAAATCCTCACAGCTTCCTGGGGTTGGCTGCAAGCTACCCTGATGCGCCTCACTGTGCTTGGGAGGGCAGCTGTACCTCGAGGGAGGGCAAAGTGGGTTCTGGAGAAATAACCTTTTCACCACCTCTCCCTCCCTCTGCCTCAAACAGAGCCAGGAGCTGGGCTGCCTGTTGAGAAGACTGAGTGTGGACGAGGGCACAGCTCTTAGCACCCTGTGGTGGCTTTGCTAAGGATGTAGCAGAGGCGGTCACGGCCATTGGGTTGCTGGTCTGTGGGCTGCCAGTCTTGTTATTTCTGTCAGCCCCTGGAGCCCCTTCTGTCAGCACATGGTGGAAAACTCATGCACTTGAACACCTGGTGCAAATCCCATTTCTGGCATTTAAGAGCTGGGTGGCCTTGGGCAACTCGTTTCACCTCAGTTTCCTCATCTGTTAAATGGGGACCAGAAGAATACCTACTGCACAAGCCTGGAGGAGACTAACTGAGACAATGAAGTAAATGAAGTGTGTTGCATAGTGTCTGGCACATGTGAAGTGCTCCATGGCCCTGGAGAGGCCCCTCGTGCCCCACCCCCCTGGGCTGGGGGCGAGCTTCCCAAAGAGAGAGGAGGCAGCACCAGACCCTGAGGGCTGGCACTGCTTGGGGAAGAGGTAGGCATGGAGGCAGGACAGGGCTGAGCCCCTGCCAAGCCTGTCTGCTGCCCCTGCAGAAGGCAGAGAGGTGCTGATGCTGGTGGGAGGGTGCCTGAGGGTGAGGGCGCTGGGGAGGAGATGAAGAAAGTGAGGCCAAGGGACCAGACTCAGAGGGGCGTTGACTCACACTGAGGGGAACACAGCCAGGGGCATCCAGGGGCAGCCCCAGCCTCTGTGCTCTGGGGTCCTACCAGAAAGGGCCTGCCTGCCCTCAGAGTGGGCCTGGATCCAGCTTGCCCTCTACATGGAAGGCAGAGAATAATCCCTGGGACTGGACAGAATCCCAGCCTAAGGCAGAGGCCAGGCTCCAGGGAAAGAGCCCGGCTTGGGTCCCTGTTCCACATGCTGACCAGTACGTCACCTGACCTCTCTGTCCTCAGTTTCTACTTCAGTTTGGGGTGAAAAGACTCAGTGGGAGGCTTAGTGGGAGGCAGCAACAAGATCATGCTTGCAGTGTGCTTGGCAAAGGGCCTGGTCTGCAGCAGATGGCCGATCAATACTGGTCCTTTCTTCAGCTCACACTTCACTGGGGTCACAGACATAAGCCATCAGCCAATGGGCAAGGGTGAGGAGTCACCCCAAGACCCCAAGGGGAGCTTTGTACAAGGCTGGCAGAGTGACCTCAGACCCAATGCCTGGAGCCTCCTAATCAGGCTGTGTTGGAAACACTCCAAAAAAGATGGGGAACGGAGGCAGGGACCCCTCTGCCCCCAAACACACCACAATCCCCTTTGGCATTAAGGCTTCAGCAGGGGTGTCCAAACTTTGGGCATCTCTGGGCCACACTGGAATAAGAGTTGACTTAGGCCACACATTAAATACACAAACACTAATGAAATGTGATGAGAAAAAAAAGGTTTTAAGTAAATTTATGATTTTGTGTTGGGCCACCTTCATAGCCATCCTGGGCTACATGCAGCTGGGCTACATGCAGGCTGGACACCCCTGCTCCAGAGACTGAGGTCACAGGAGGCCCAAGGGGGCACATCTGCCAGCTCATAGCCCCACTGGGGAGGGGAGTTTGCCACCTGTTGTACACACTGTTCTGGGGCATTTTGGAAAAGCAGCGAATGGGGGTGCATGCAGGTGTTCAGACACTGGGCCCGAGGTCTTTCTCTCTGCTCAGTGCCACACTCACAGTTATGAAAAACCTAATGCAGGGAATGACAGTTTCCCCCTAGAAATGACTGCTGGGGAAAGCTTGCCCTCTGCGTAAATGGCTACAGTTGTTATCCCTGAACAAGCACCGAAATCCTTGGTCTGGTCCCTCTTTCCTTCGGCTACTGGGGAGCTCCGAGCCAGGTTTGTGCGGACCGCTGAAGCCAACTACTGCCCAGGTTTCCGGACACCTTTTCTAACCTCTTCATTTCTTGGCTTCTCTTTTCTTACTTTTTAAAAAGCTCCTATTTTACATGTATCTTTTATCAATTAGGTTCCAGCGCTTTGTGGAAGTAAGTGGGTGTAAATAATAGATTCATGATTGACTCAGCCTAGGTTCTAGCTCTTTAATTAAGATAGTGATCTTTTCCCAGAAACCCATGTTTGGGCTATTTTTGGGCCCTCAAAACACCCACTGAATGGTCTGCTCCAGCTTTGCTGAGGATCAGGGCAATGTTTGCGTTGCCCTTCCCCACGGTGGGTGGCAGTGCCGCCGAGTGAGCATGCGCTTTGGAGTCAAACAGAACTGAGTTCAAAGTTCAGCTCAGCCACTTATTAGGGGGCTGAATTAGGGCAAATAGTTTAACCCTCGCCTATACAATGAGAACAGTTAACCTTGCTGTTATCAGTGCTCACCTTGCTGGTTGTCATAAGGTTTGAATGGAATGATGCGCAGAGGATTTGGCAAAGCACCTAGCACCTAGTAAGGGTTTACTAAGCACTAATGATGATGAGAACGACAATTAACAGCATCTATTGAGTACTCAGGGAACACACAGTGGGCACTCAACAAACGCACAGCGCATCTTCCACCGAACCGGGGGGCTGGAAGGAGGGCTGCCCACCCGCCCGCCCGCCCACTGTTAGTCTCTCTCCGCTAACTGAGCCCTGAGGATGCGTTCACTACCTGTTCCAGAAGACGGCCCCTGAGATCTTCTGCATCTCCCCCAGGGTGGCTAGAAGAAGTGAGGACTTGCCGCAGCCCACCTGCCCCACGATCATGGTCAGCTGGCCTGCAGGGAGGGAGAGCCAGGATGGGCCTGAGGCCAAGAAGGAGTCTTACAACCACCACCCAGAAAGACAGCCAGAGAGACACTCCCCACCCTGGGGCCCCCATTTGCTGTCCTCCTACCTAGAATACCCCCAGGGAGTCCTTTCCCTCTTTGGGAACCTTTCCTTCTGGGTACTGACATTGCCCTCCTGGCTCCCCAAGCCCTCCCTCATTGATGACTCCCCCACCCAGCCCGAAGCTCCCGTTTCTCCCTTCCAGTGTCACCCAGTGTGAGCCCAGCTCCTCGTGGGCCCACGAGCGCCACCCCGGGCCCCACCGCCATCCCACTTCCATGCTTTGTTCAAGCTGCTGCCGTTGCCAGAACGCCCACCCTGCCTCATGGCCTGAGGGACCCTGCTCATTCTCAGAAGCTCCACTTCTTCCACGATGCCCCCTGGCTACTCGGGTCTCATCTTTTTGCAAAGCACCACGCTGTCCGTAACCGATGGGTTGACATCAAGGCCCCCATCTCGCCCTGTCCTTGCTGTTGCACTCCCACCTGGCACGTGGACTCCTGGAGCACGAAGCCCACCCCCTCTCTAGTGTTCATGCCCGAGGGTAGCCACTTAGAGTGAGCATGGAACAGACACTCAATACATGCTGGTTTTTCTTTTTTCTCCATGTTGGGACACAGGGAGAGGCACCTCAGACGTGACTCTAGGGGGACACCCTCAGAGCCTGATGGGGGGATGAGCGGGGTCATACCTCGGGGGATGCGGATGGTGATGTTGGACAGTGTGGGAATCCCATCGGGTGTCCACGTGAAGAAGCCTCCAATGACCTTCATTAGCAATAGCCCATGGCCCAGAAGAGAACAGGAAGACAGTTGGGATCCCAGTGTCAAAGTTTCTTATCTATCCTCCCCCAGAAAGGCCAGAAACTACTATTCCAGTCCTTGGATCACTTCCAGGACAGGGGAGTGGGGGACTGGTCTTCTCACACCCACCCCTGCCCAAGGCACCCTCCCTGAGAGAGCAGCCACACGTCCCCCCACACTGGGTGGAGATGGAAGACTTGTCCCTGGTCTTGGGACTCCCATGGGTCCTACAGGCAGGTAGGGTGACCTTGGGGCAGAGGACTCAGCAAACAGGTCTGGCCCATCAGTGCTGAGCCCCCTGTTGGTGATGGTGTTGGGGGCCAGGCTTGGGGTGTAGGGTCTCAGACTCACCTGGACACAGCAGTTGTCAGCATCCCCATCTGAGTTGGGGGCCAGCCTCTGCAGTGGGCCTGTGAGGCCCTGACAGTCTTCCCGGACTGGACGCTTGCGGTTCACGACCTTGAGTGGCTGGGGATGGTTAGGAGGAGGTGAGGGCCCGCAGGGCTGGGAGCTGTACCGGGAAGGGAGCCCCTCTTCCTGTGAGGAAAGGCTGAGGCAGGATGCAGCAGGCCTGAGTGGTGAGGGGGGTCAGGCACTCACCACTGCCTGGTACTTGCTGGCTTGGCCCTGGGGCGCAGGCTCCCGGGGAGCACACTGCTCTTCTCGGATCTCTGCGCTGGACAGGAATTCGCTCAACTTTTGCACGCTATAGAGGAAGCACAGAGACACCCCTCACCCCTGCCAGGGGCAGGGGAGAGGGGAGAGGGTGAACCTGAGACGGCAGCTCTGAGAAGGTTTTGAGTCCTGAGGTGTAGTCCCCACAAAGCCCCCACTGAAAGGGGATAAAGCAGTGGGCACCCGTGGTGGGAGCCATAGGTATTACCAGCACCTGTTAGGGTTGACTAATCCTCAGGAGTAGGTTAGGGTCCAGATTAGGGTGGATTTGGTTAGTTTTAGGAATAGTCCAGTGTTAAGGTTGGTGAGACTAAAAGATGGCTGCTGGTGGACAATATTAGTTACTGTTAGAATTAAGGTTGGTCAGTGTTAAGGTTAGTTAGGATTAGAATTAGTTATTAATAGTAGCTAATATTTATTAAGCACACACCATATGCCCGACAATATATGTTTTATGAGAATATCATTTAACCCTGCTAGGGGAGGTGTATTATTCTCAACTCACAAAGGAGAAATCTTCCTCTCCCACCCCAGGAATTTCTCTATGGACCCAGAGGAGGCTCCAAAAGTTTTGGTTCATTCTCTCTCACCTCTAGGGGTGTGGACGCTATCGGAGGAAGCCTGAGCATTGTTTGCATACCTCTTCCCTCCCTTTTGCTAAACGTCCAATAGGCCAGGGGCCTGGCAAGCTGTCCAACTCTCCAGGCGAGAACAGCCTGAGGCCCTAAACGGGCTGCGTCTCCTGGTTCCCGTTCTGTGCACAACGCCCCACCCCTGACCACCCCACCCCTGACCAGGAGCGGACTGCCAGCCTCTGCCTGTTCCTCCTGCTGCTCCGGGATCAGGCCCTCTCTCAACAGCTGGTGACTGGGATGGGCGGAGCTGGCCTTGTGTCCTGTTCCCACCTTCAGCCCAGGGTCTCATCGCCCTCTTAAAAAAGGTCTCAGCTACCTGAGGACAATGAGATTAGGAGTGTCTGCATATGGAAATGCTTCTGAGTCAGCACAAAGGATTTCCAACAGGTGTAGCATCCTTGATCCTGTGGTTTCTACACGGAATCACAGGGCTGGGGTGGGTGTGGCGGAGGAGGGGTGGTCACTAGAAGTCGCAATGCCGTGGTCATGGTGAAAGGCAAATACCATATGATCTCACCTATACGTCAAACCTAATCAACCAAACAAACAAGCGAGCAAAATAGAACCAGAGTCATGGAAATAAAGAAGAAACTGACAGTCACCAGAGGGGAGGGGGGTAACGGGGGAAAGAAGGGGAAGGGTCAAGTCGAGGAACATGTACACAGGACCCATGGACAAGGGCAATGAGGGGGAGGACTGAATGTGGGGGGGGTGGGCAGGGAAGGAGAGAGTGATGGGGGGAAAACAGGGACAACGGTAACTGAACTATAACTAAAAAATTTAAAAAGAACAACAACAACAAAAATGCCATGGCCAATAAAGCTGAGTCTGCACAGCCAACCCTGGAAATGGGAGCTGACCTTTCTCCCGCCTGCTATTCCCCGGTCAGATACTCCTTTGATCACAGTTCTGCTGAGTCCTACCCTTTCTATCCTTGAACCTCTGCTAGAGCTTCCTCGTGCAAGTTGCTTCTTCCACCAGCTACCTCAGTCTAATAGCTGCTCCTCCCTGCCAGCTGCCTGGGACCTGCCAGTGTTCCCTGAGACAGGGGTGTCACTTTTCTCGAGGCTGAAGGGGCTCGGGTACAGTGAGAAAGGCCGTAGCCAGCTTTCCCCAGAAACGCGACAGCCCATTGTTTTCAAGGACCCCTTTCAGAGGCCCAAGGAGGTCTCCTCAAAGCTTCAACAGGGGCTTGCCTTCCCAAGGGGGGGGAGCGATGTCTGTGGGAGACTGGAAGTGGGGGCCTCCCTGAGCTGTGGGTCAGTCAGGGACAGGACGTACAGGCACGTGGGGAAGTGGCTCACTGACCAGGGCTGTGAAGGCTCTGGGACCCGTGGGAAGAACAGGGGACGCTCAGCCCGGGGAAGGCAGAGATTCAGCGGGTACCTTCCGAAGTCCGAGGGGCCAGGCTGTGGGGAAGGCGTGGTGCTTCTTTGTGGGTGGCTCTGAGGGTGGAACTAGGACCGATGCGTGGAATTTATGAAGATGTACCAGTTTGCTCAATATTGAGCTGTTTTTTACAGAGTTATCTCGGAGGTGACATTGAATTCCTCTCCTTGGAGGTATGCAAGCAAGGTGGCTAGTCCTTTCTCAGGGATGGCGTGGAGGGGAGCCATGCAGGGCCTCTGTCGCCCTGACCAGCCACGACCAGCTCAGCGAGGCCCAGACCAATGGGGAGGCGTGTCCTGGGACCGAACAGCTATGGTTGCCAACGTCAGTCACTGGAGAGAGTGCTGGGGTGGCCACATGAGCTGCCTGTCCAGTGGCCTTGCTGGACACTTCTCTCACCTGACTAGAGCTTTGACCGTAGAGCGGACCACACTGGACAGCAGGAACAGCGGCGTGACCAGGATGTGGAAGAGGGAGAGGGAGGCGAAGGCCACTGAGGGCGAGAAGTCAGCCTCTTTGAAGAAGCTGGCGTGGCCCACAAAGGTCTGTGGACAGAGGCACATGTGAGACTGCGGGACTCAGAGCGTGGCCCCTCCCACAGCAGAAGCACCGAGCCCGGGGGAAGAAAGAAAGAGGTCTGTATCAGGGGACTCAAAGGGACTTTTTAGTTAAAGACACCTTCATCCACACAGGCATCTCAGAGCAATGTCCCCAGTGAGTTCAGGACTTCAAGCTGGAGGGCCGAGACGGCTCCCTCCCTGTCCTATCCCCTCTTTGCCATGGATGACTGGGGAGGAGCCCTTGGGTTAGGTCAGCTCTGCACCCCATCGGTTAGGAAAATGAAAACAGGAGAATTATAATCACCTGGTCACAGTGCTTTCCCTTGGCTACCCAGCCGGCTCAGTCGCCTCTGTTACCCAGAATTCCCTGAAAAGCCAGGCCAGAACCAACCCAATAAATCATGTCCAAAGTGAATTGCTAAGCATTCCTGACAGGTTGTGAACCCGCCACAGCTCTGGGACACCAGCCCCAGGGGAAATAAAGACATCTTTTTAAAGAACTGCAGCCATCACAGAAGCCAGGGATGGGGGTCCTGGGTGAAGGGGCTGTGGGCTCACAAGGGCCCAGGCCTTTCAGGAGGGGCATGCTGCCGGCTCCCACTGCTGAGTTCACACATGGCTTCGGTCAGAATTGCTTTAGAAAAACCTCCTCCACTATAATATTTCATGATGAGGAGGACTGTTCGTGCCATATTCTTACATTCCGAAAGGCAGGTTACAAAATTGCATGGGCAGCACAGTCCTATTTTTGTAAAAAGGTCATATTACGTGCCTTCAAAAAAGGCTGGAAAGAAACACATTAAAGATGCTGCCAGTGGGGTTATGGGTGATTTAAATTCTCCCTGCCCTTTCCATTCTGAATTTCCCAACGTTTCTACAACAAACATGTTTGGTAGCTATTTTTAAAAGAAAGTTTAATTTCTTTAGAGACTAAGCCTCAGGTCCTCCAGGCCTGGAGACCGGGGCCCCTGTCTTCTGAGCAGGGGAGGGGCCTGCCCCGTATGTAGACTTTCAGTCCATTGCCTGGTGTCCAGGCCCACTGACGAGGCATCTTCTGAAGTCCCCGCGCAGAAAGGCCAAACCCGGGGGAGGAGCCCTCACTCCTGTCTTTCTGCCCCACCCCCACCGGGAGAGGGAGGAAGGAGCCACTCACGATGAGGACCGCTGCAATGGGGATGGCCGTGTTCATGAAAACTGCGGAGGAAGCACAAGTTTAGCGGGAGCGGTGAGGCAGCTAAAAACAAAGCCCCTCAGGGGTGGAGGTTATGCAGCCTTGGGGTCCCTTCCCCAGCCAGTGGGGTGGCACTGGGGCGGGGTAGGGGCCGAAGTCCAGCTGGTTGGCACCTGCAGCTCCTTACCTGTTTCCCTCAGGGTGCTGGTCTGCCGGGACCCTGAGATTTAAACCATTAAATAAAGGCTTGGATACTCCTACTCTGCTCCTGTGGACAGTGTGAAGGAAGCCCCGTGAAAATGTGACGGGAGATGGGATCGGGTAGGGTCAGCTGCCTGTGGTCAGTGGGGAGGTCAGCGGCATGGCTCTCTGGAGTCACCAAGTTGTTACTCCTTCCTTTGCCTTTGGTCCCTGTGTCTGCCTCTCCCCCGCCCCGCCGCCCCACCCCCTGCCCAGGCCAGGTTCTCCCTGGGGCTTGGAGCCTTCCTAATCTTCCATGGCTCGGGGGGAGACTTCAAACTCACACTCAAGTATCAGTGATGAAGGACATCTTAAAACAGGGCATCCCTTAGCTCTAAGACTGAGAGTCCATGCCCGGGAAGGAGGGCAGTGGTTTGTTTAACGTGTGGCCCTCAAACCCTTCCTAGGGACCGGAGAGCAAAGAGAGCTAGACTTCAAGTCAAAGAGCCTGTTACATAGAAGCTGTGTAACCTTTGGCAGATCATTTCCCCACTCTGTGCCTCAGTTTCTGTACCTGATCCTTGTAAGCCTGTACTTCCTTGTTCATACGCTCTGGCTTTCTCCAAGGTGTGAGGAGATAATGCAGTGAACAGGTTCTTCAAGCCCTAGGTGCTAATGATCACACCCCACTGGCTACTAGCTCAGCCCTGCTCCCTGGCTCCCTGCTCCTCCGGCCCAATGGGTAAGACCTCGAGGCCTACGCATGGCGTCCTGAACTTGCAGACAGAGCAGCCCTCCTAGAACCAGAGATGACCTTCTAGCTGCCACCCTCCTATCTCATCTGTCATCCTGCCAGGAGCCTCTTCCAGGCCAGCCCAGAAAGGAGTCTGGTTCTGTAATTAAGCCAAATGAAAGCAGAATAAGCCAGGAGCCAGAGGCCAACCAAGGGCTCGGCCTGTGCACGTGACCCCTGTCCAATGAACAGTGAAGTCTCTGACACTCTGAGGTTCAGAGGGTCAACACCAACCCAAGAAGCTGTCTGCTTGTTCGAAGAATCCTGTGTCAGCCAGTGCATACTCAGTGTATACTGGAGGTCTGGATGCCCCAGTGGGAGGAAGAACACAGCCCCTGCCCTCAGAAGGCTCCTAGTTTGAGGAAGGAGACAGAACCAGGCTCCCAGGAAGGTCCTGATTTGCTGGGGAGAGAGGACACGTGCCCTTAGGGAGCTCCCAGCAGAGAGGAAAGACATTGTGCCCATGTTAGGGGATTCCTTATCTGACGAGGGAGACACAGCCCCTGCAGAGCTCCCAGTCTCAACAAGGAGATGTGCCTGAGCTCTGTTTTTTTATCAGCACCACTATCATACATGACCGAGCTTAACTGCCCTTCCTGAAGAGGACTCCAGGTCTCCACGTGCCCACAGCAACGCTGCAGCCCTCCCTCCTAGTCTCTGGCAGGGGCAGTATAAGCATTATTGGCTCTCCAGTAGAAGGGACCCAGGTCTGGGACCTGAGGCGCAGCGCAGCTGTCACTGGCTGGAGAGAAGAAGGAGAAGGACTCCCATGAGGCTTGGGCCCTTGACCATCACAACCATATAGCTCTAAACACAAGGTAGCTTTGTCCTTCCCGTCCAGGGCCAGTTATTCCAGGGAGCTCCCTCAGGACGGGGGCCTCATTCTGTTCCTCTGTTGCCCACCCTAGCAATCACCACAGAGGAGGGGCTCACGCTACAAGGCACCTGTGCACCGCCTCATGGCCCCCAGCCCCAGGTTGAGACCCAGCCCACACATTCTGGGGTTCAACTCCCAGCTAAAAAATAGGTACAGAGTTAGGTTGTAAACTGGTACAGCTCTGCTTGGAAAGCAATCTGGTGCTCTGTAGCTACAGCCACACAGAAGTTTAGACCTTCTGATCCTGTAATCCCTCCCCTGGCAGTTTATCTGGAATACCCCGAGAGAAGCACAAAGCTCTCAGCAAGCTGCTGTTAGTTATAGCACTGTCATAGCAAAACAAAACCACAGCCACAGCGCAAACCACTGGAAACGAAACCAGCCGGCAACACATCCTACACAAGGGGCTGGCTGTTTTAGTAAGCGTGGTCTGTCAGCTCCCAGAGAGTCCCACAGTCATGCAACGTGCCATAACTGACATTTCGTTCCACGGCCTGTTTTCCTTGGTCGTGATTTTTCTTAATTTGTATTTTTCCCCTATTTTGTTGTCTTTATTCTTGTAGCTGCTTGAACTCCTTTGAGGAATGAGACAAGCTATAAATAAAATTTAAAAATGAGTACTCTAAAGTTGGCTCTCTCAAAAGAGAATCCATATGATACCATTAATTTCTACCCTGTCCTGGCTCTTGTTTAGAGACACTAAAGAATGAATATATCATTTTCCACTTCCCTCACACTCTCTTGCAAGGATGGCCTTTGTGCAGGGAACTCTGGGTCCCCTTTGGGGTGGAGGATGGGGGTAGGGATGGAATTACCAGCTGCTTACATTTTAAAGACCTCTCTGAGAAGCAGCCCACTGGGCCCTGGAGTAGACAAGGCTGGTGCTAGGGATGTCAGCGCCAGAGTCTGGGAGGCCCGGGAGCCTCTGGCACCACTCTGAGCTCAGCACACACTCCGGAACCCTAGTGAGACTAGGGAGGGCAGGGGGCTGGGCACCCCAGCTGTCATGGGTTGAAGGCCTGTGGCCTTGCCTCTATTTTCCTGAGCCACATAAAGCCCTGTAAGATATTCAAGGTGATGGATGGGTACAAAAATATGACCCAGAACAGACTTCTCCCCATTTGTGGCATGGGGGGGGGCTGACTCACTTTGACTTGAGGTGGGAAAGACAAAGAAAAAGAGAACATAGAGAACATGATAGTGCTTAAATCCTGCACGTTAGGAAGCAAGAAATCCTGGTAAGATGACGCCGAGAGCAGAGGATGACAAAGCGACATGTAAGTGTGGTGCTGCCGTGGAAAAGTTCAGACTCGCACAGGCAGATCTGAAGGGCCTCCTTCGAAAGCAAAAGTCTTTCCATTGTGGTATAAAGATGTGAGTAGGTGTTGTTTCAATCCTCCCCCCAAAATGCCCTTTAAGAAGTATTTCTTCAAAAATTACTGTTTTGAGGGTTTCCTCTGTTCCAGGCACGACGCTGGGTCCTGGGGGCACAGCCGTGCACAATGTGTCAGCGTTTTCTAGCCCCCCCCCCCGCCCCCCGCAAAGGGAACAAACCCACAAATCAGCAGAAACCAGGGTGGTGCTCAGATAGCGCTCCCCTGGCTTTGCCCGAGGGAGGCCATCCTGCCCTGGGGGTGCCACCTGCACCACCTTCCAGCAGCTTTTCATTTCCAAAGATACACAGTTCAGAAGTCACGTGTCAGGGAGGCAGAGCCAGACATTCGTGCCTCTGGTGAGCTGCAGGTTGTCCCGGGGTGCGGGGTGCGGGGTGAGGGGGTGGCTGGTGGGGAGCTACAGGCTCACAGCCTGGGCGAATGCAGGCGGCACCAGCAGGAGGGGCAGTGCAGTTTTAAGTGCACGGGGCTATTTCGCATTCATTCTGAAGTCAATGGCAGGGAAAGAAAGCAGATTAATGGTGTGTTTGTGGTTGGCCTGGTGGGAGCACCGCAGGAGACCCCTCAGGTCCTGCTGATTCTTGCCTTCTTAACTGATGACCCTCCCCGGTTCCCCCTCAGCCTCCTCCCTGCCCAAGCAGGCCAGGATATATGCATCAGCAGGCCAGGGGTGTGGCTGCCCCAGCTGGTGGCAGAAAGGCCAGATACTGAAGAAGAATTTCAGAGAAGCTGGAGAAGGAAGAGGGGCCAGATCTGGCAGTCACCTTGTGCCCCCACACTGGCGGTTTGAGTCCAGGCCTCCACCGAGGAGGAGAGAAGGAACTGAAGTCTTGGGCTGTGAATGGGGGTAGGGGCCAGGTGCCCTATCCTGCCCATCCCACTCCCATCCACTGCATAGTTGGGGTGCTTGGGGGCTTGTTTTTTGTTTCCCAGGACTCGGTAGGAGGTCAGTCACACTCATCCAGGGAGGGCCCACCTGACTGTGTGCGGTTCAGACCCGACTGGGAAGACGGAACACCCCTGGCCCCAGAACACCAGAAGAGAGGGCAAAGCCGTCTTACTTGCACTTAAACTGCTTCAATGGCTCCCCCACCTCAGGAGAAAACCCAGAGGCCTGAACACAGGGCACAGGGTCTGTATGATTTGGTTTTGTTTTCCTCTCCTCACCAGATTACGTTTGAGTCTCAAACACACTATCATCCTTCTCACCTTTAGGCTTTGGGCCTGGAACATTCTTTTCCTCGTCCGGTTAACTTATAATCACTCTTTGGGCAACGAGCTTCGCCTCTGACAAAGCTTTCTTGACACTCGCAACCTCTGAATACGACTCTCACGGGTGCTGACAACACCCATTTCTATTCCTGTCACTCACCACACAGCTCTGTGGCTGGCTTCCCTACATGCGTAGCACAGGGCCTGGCACATAGTAGGTGCCTGGTAGAGATTTGTTAAATGAAAGATAACAGATTTGGTAAAGATAACTAAATGAAAGAAATAAAAGGAGCCGGGGTCGGGTGGGTATCACAAAAGGGAAAGTGGGGCACTCGGAGCTGACGCCAGGGCTCTGAGCACATGCGCCACCACTGGTCATGGCATGGTCTCCCTGGAGACTGTGACTCAAGGACCATGCCTGCCTCCTCTTTACCCCCCAGGGTCTCGTCCAGTCTGGCTCGGAGAGAAGGTTCTGGAATGGGTGCTGCACACGGGACAGAAGGAACTGGCAGCATGTTGGTTGGTGGACTGGTAGGACCTAGGTCCCTTTCGTCACACTTGCAGTTTGTCCTCAAACACGTGGCGGGGCTGGACACCTGGAGTCACCATGCTTCTGTAAGGAAATAGACTGGCCTGGCTGCTATGGGGGGTGGCCACTGTACTTGCCTCCAGCTTTTTCCCACCTGATCTTCTACTCACTGAAATCCCACCCTCCTTGCAAGGTGCCGCCCAAGCCTAATCTTGCACGAAGCTCTGTGTGAACTCCCAGTCCACATGGGCTTCCTTCTCCTCTGTTCTCTGCCATTTACTGGCTGAGGACCTTAGTGAGCCATTTCACTTCTCTGAGCCTCAGTCTTCCCTGCTGTAAAGTGGGACAGTAGAGCTACACACCTCGCAAAGCCGGTCTGCGGATTAAGGGCCGTCAGCATGCTAGGTGGCCAGCACAGAGCGGGTCCACACAGTGCAGTTCTCCCTGCCACACTCTTCCAAGTGTGTCAGCGCTGACTTCTCAGCAGACTGTAAACTCCTTGAGAATGGGGTGCACGAGTTACTGTCTCCTGCATCCCTCTCAGTGCTTAGCATAGAGTCGAGCACACAGAGCTGGGCTCCCTCAACACCCACTGAGTGACATGTGTCTGCTTTCCTTTGATCCTGGATCTCGATGGCAGAGAAACTGCACACATTTCCTTTCACCTCCCCCACCAACCCACATGCTGCCCTGCACCAAATCTCCACCCACAGGAGCTCTCAGTGAAGCCGAAGGTGAGGCCATCAGATAGAGTGTCAGAGGCAACTTGACTGGTGTAGGATGGCAGACTGAAAGCACAGCCGGGCAGCACCAGACAGGCCCCGCCAGGAAACGTGACTCCAGGGCTTTTCTGTGGCACTGGAACCCCATGGCCGGCGCCAAGGGTGAGGGTGAAAGATGCCCCATTATCTCAAGCCTAATGACCTGTGTCCTGATCCCTGGTGATAGAGAGCAGAAGGCAGGAAGTCTGGGAGCAGATAAGTGAAAACACGCTTAAAGCATATACCTGCAGCCAGAAAGTGCCCTTCCTTACCACCTGTCTCTCCCCCTCGCACAGACTAGCACAAAGAAACCCATCCCAGGAAGGGCGAACACTGAGCACACAGTGCTTGGCTTTCAGAATCCCGGAGGGCTCTTCCCTTTCCCTCCCCAGTGCCTCTTCCAGGGACCAGCTGGGGTTGCTCTGTTTATCCTTCTAAGTTGCTGAGGCCTGGACAGGTGAGGGGCCCTGGGCAGACCCCTTCTTGGCTCCAGAGTCCCTTAACTCCTTCCAGAGTCAGCTCAGCTCTTGACAGCATAGAGCCTCCCTTCCCCAGGTCCTCTGGGCTCCAGACCCTTCACAAAGCCCTGGCTTGTCTTTCCAGGGACCCCTGGGACAAAGAACACCTATTAGATAGGCTTCGGCGGGCTAGCCCGGGAACCTAGACACCTTATGAGGTTGTTTACATAGGAAGATACATCCCCGGTTGCAGTTTGGAGTGCAGGAAATGAGCATGCATCTCCTAGAAGCAGAGTAGCTGCCCCTTGCCCCCACCCTTATGACCCAAGGCTGCTTCTTTTGTGCTTTCAGGAATCTTGGGGACCAGTGTCCCGGCTTCCTTGCTGCTCCCCTCCCACTGCAGCAACGATGAACCCACCCTACCCGACCCTGCCAAATTGTTGCTGGGAGAGAAAGTCACCTGGCTGTTGGGGGAGGCCCTCGCCCACCTCAGCACTTGTTTGCCGTGATGGAGCCTGGAAGCCAGCATCTGCAGTTGTGCATGGGGCGGGGTCACCGTTGACACAGCCAGACCCAGGGGCAGGCAGAGCCGGCACAGACAAGGATAAAGAGGGCCTGGATTTGCGAACAGTAATTTCTGAGCTTCCTAAATGGTCCTTCCCAATTTCTTCTGTCCCAGGGAGTGCTCAGCCCAAGGGTCAGAGACCACAAGGTCAAGGATGAGGGTCAAGGGGCGGGACCAGCAACCTGTAGAGCCTTGGTGAGGAATCCAGGGAGCCACGGCTGCCTGCCACACTCACAGCTCCAGTCTGAGAAAATGAGATCCCAGCAGCACTTTCTGCAGAAAGATGCCATGGCTAGTGATGTGTATGGGGAATGGCCTGGCCACTGCTACTGGACAAGGGTCCCTGCCTGAGGCACAGGACCCCAGGGTTTGGCTGGACACAGGGAGGTAGGACACCTGAGCCCTTGGGCTGGATGGTGGCCACCTGTCCCCACCAGAGCCTCTCTGGGCCGTGTAAACACCAGGAATGCAGAGACGACCAAGGGACCGTCTCAGTCACCATGAGCTTATCTGGGACACATGAGCAGAGCGCCCTCCACTACGGCCCCACCATCGGCCCCGTTCCCCGCTCCGAGCCTTGCACACCAAAAAACCGGTTCCAGCTGGTGGAGGCGATCAGCTTTGTTCATCTCTTCTAATTTCCTCCCCTATTTCTCCCCTCCGTCAGAGCCACTAGACTCTCTTCTAGTAAGAGGAAACAGCCTAAACATGGTGCCCCATCGTGTCCTAAGTCTTCTTGCCCGGCCATCGTCCCCGGCTCTGTGTGGAAATAGGTCAAGGCTGGGAGTCAGAGACTCCGGAGGATCTAGTCTGAGTCATGCTAGGAACCTCAGGAACACACCCCTCCGGGCCTCAACTTCTCGCCTGTAAAACGGTTCTGCCGACCTGCAGAAAATAGTTCCTATTTCCCTCCCCTACCACATCCTGTGTAATCTCCACAGGTCTACCTTTGAATTCACAAATTCTCTCTTTAGCTATGTTACTTCACATAACCTGCACACTGAGTTGTTTTTTTGTTTTCCCGTTTTGTTTTTTCTCTCCGAGGACTTCCTCTCGGCCCTTCCTACCATAACAACTCTTAAACCGGGAAGGCCAGGGGGCTATAGTGTGAGGTCTGCCAGCTGCCTGCTTTCAGCATCCCGGTCATGCCCTCGGGCACTAACCGCCGCTGGGCAGGTCCCTGGAGCCACCCGAGCAACTGAGAGCAGCCCCGGCCAGTAATCACCTGAGCTCCGCACACCCTGCCCTACCCTAGGAGCTGTTATCCACTGAATTAATTTCAATAACTAAATTTTTAATTTATAGACTTTTTATGGCTTTCTTTTCCCCCAATACTTTTCTATTTTGCCTTGTAGGTTTTATCCCTTCTTTAGCTCTTTAATTATTTTATGCATACTTATTATATTATCTCTTTCAGACTATTCTAACCTCTCCAGGTATTGAGGGAGTAATTCTCCTATATTTTGCTTTTGCTGACTCATTCCGGTGGTAGGTTTTTATTTCTTTATTATTAGCTCAATGTTTAAGAGGAATGCTTGCTACAGGAATCCCATGTTCGCTAGAAACTGGTTTTATTATGTGCGTCTGATGGGGCCCTGGGCATTTCACCAGTTTTGGTCTTTTTCTTTCCCTCTCTTATTTCTGGGCTTGGTGTTCCCACACCAACCGATTGCTGTAAATTCAGTTAGTGTAGATACGTCTGTGAGGGCCTCGCACTTGAGCTCCTGTTGTTTAAAGTAAAAGTCTCTCCTTTTCAGGGCCCCAGATCAATGGGAGTTTCCACGGAGCCTCCCCAGGGCGGCGCTGACTCGCTGAAAAGGAGTCCTCCCAGGAGAATCCAAATTGCTCCTTATCCCTTTCCTGCTGCCGCCCGATAAACTGGCAGCTCAGCAGCACATCGAAGACCTCATCTCTCTTTCTCATCACTGTATCCCGAGGGTGGGCTCAGTGCCCCCACACAGCAGGCTGCCAGTACCTGTGTGCTGGATAAATGACCGGGGAACACTGTGATTTCTGGGGGCTCTGCTATGTGAGAGGGTTGGAGGCTCACCTGGACTTCTGCCCCTCCCCCTCTCCCAAGTCCTGACGCCTTATCCTAGCAGCAGGCTGGCTGGTCAGCTGGCTGGCTGACTGGGGCGGACTCACTGGAGATGGAGGTGTAGATGGCAAAGGCCCTGAGGCTGGTCATCTCTTTCCTGCGAGTCATCTCCACCCGCGTGCGGAAGATGTTTTCCCAGGCGTACAGCTTCAGCAGCTTGATGCCGCGGAGCATCTCATTGGTCTGCTTCAGTCTCTCATTAGAATACTCCTGCCAGGGGTCACCGAGTCAGAGAAGGGTGTCTTCTGCCCCATCCCTTCCCAGAGGAAGGAGCTGAGTCCATGTTCTCACCATTTCGCAGACAATACCCAGCTCCTGTCCCCACAGGGATGCCCCTGCCTTGTCCATTAACCCCGTTTCACAGACACAGAAACGGGTGAAGCAGACGGGTGACGTGACCTGCTTACGGTCATGATAGTGTGCATGTGTGTGTGGGGGGCAATATTTGGTGGCATCTCCCCACCGATGAGATAGGGGAGGGAGCAGGAAGGCATATGGGGGAAGGATAGGGGAAGAGGCAGGTGCACACCTGCGGACACTCACCAGGGTGCTCCGCTGGGCCTGGGAGAGCTTGGTGGCCACGAAGTACTGGACAGGGGCCAGTAGAATGATGACAGCTGCTCCAATTAAGGCACTGACTCCGAGGATGTAGTAAAGGAGAATCACGCCCACCACGATCTGAGGGGAGGTCATAGGGGTGAGTTCCCTTTGACTGGTGGCTGCTCTGTCAGGGTGGGGGATGGTAAAATCCCCCCCACCTCCAGTCTCCTAAAGTGGGACAGGCCTCAACACCAGTTTCCAAAGTGTCTAGGTTGGGGGTGGGGTGGAGGAAGAGATGCGACAAAGCAATGTCAGAGGAGGAGTTAACATGATGGGCTTGCACGGGAGCAGAGTGTTTCTGGGCTGGGAGCTAACTGGAAAGCTGGCTGAAGCATTCTCTCTCCCCAAGTTTGTTTTCCAGATGGAGGTCTCAGGGCTGGGCTTGCACCACCGTGAGTGTGACAGCACATTTCCTCCGAGCTGGTATCCAGGCTGACGTTTTGCTCTCACTGGGAAGCAGTAATATAAGGGCAAAGGGCCACAGCCACCGCAGCCATGCCCAACAGAACCAGGCCAGGACCCGGGAGTCTGCCTTTCATTCTTATGCTCCTGGCGTCTTTAGTGTTTTAGTGACTCTCCCAGATATTCTCTGAAAAGAGAATCCATCCTGTTCCTAGCTTTATGCAAGTGACTGCCTGCTTCTGAATATTTATGAGAAGTGTACGTTATCCTTGTCCTCCTCCAAAGCATGGAGATGACAGTTCCTCAGGTTGCCTCCAACAGCAGGACCTCTAAATTCTGGGCTTAATCTAGAGGAACAGATGTGCTGCCTTCCTTAATTGGAAAATAAAAAGCCTGCCTGGGCTGACCCTGCACTCCTGGAGCCCTGCACCACCTTGGCACGGAGCTCCTCGCACCAGCTCAAGGACAGAGGAGTGGGCGCATGGCTCTGTGACTTCTGTTAATTACAGAATGCCTCCTGCATTAGCGGGTTCTCGGGCGCCAATAAGTGGCCCTTCACCACCTGCCGCCCAGTGTTTAGCTGATGCTCAGCGCTGGCACAGACAGGCAGAGGGACACATTAGGAGATGAAGAGCCCTCCTGCTCCTGCTGGGCCCTGCTGCCATCACCCTCCAGAAGATCATCCCTGGCATCCAGGCCTTTCATGAACTGTCCTCATGTGGAAGCAATGAGGGCATCATTCGGCAGCTTGGGGAGAGCCGGGCACCCAGGAAGTTCCCAACGCACTCCCAAAATGACCACCAGCGCAGGGGCTGGGGGTCGGTGCCTGCACCACCCCCCACCGTCACCTCCAGGTGCCGGCAGCTGCTGGGGTGGGAGCTGGGGAGGCAACATCTGCTGCCAAGTCTCCTCCTCACACTCCGCCTACCCCTCCTGCTGCTCCTCAGGCTCCTCTGTCCACTGCACTCCCCTCTCTGCAGGGGCCTGGATGGGCCCACGGGGGAAGGCACCAGAAAGTGGGGATTCTGAGAGTGCAAAGCATGTGTGGGGAACGAGCTGTTTCAGCTCCTATTCACAAGTTGGACAAGCAGCCTAGGGTGGTGTGGGGGATCACGGTCCCTGGAGTCTACACCCAGGAGTTTGAACGCAGTCTCAGCACTTACTGGCTCTGCAATCTTGGGCAAGTTACTTAACTTCTCTGAGTCTCAGTTTCTTCACTTTTAAAATGATGATTTTAATGTCCACTTAGCAGGATGTTGTGAAGATTAAATGAACATTACAGTAAACACCTAGAACAGTGTCTGGCATATTGTTGGAAATCAATACAAGGTGACTGAATGCCCTTCTTAAAAACAAGCAAACAAACAAACAAACAAACAAATAAGCCGTGTGGGAACCCTGTCACTAGGGCACCACAGAAAGGACATACTTGGTGTGGCCCAGGGTGAGCTCTGTGGGCCTCTGACACCCAGAGATAGAGTGAGCAGACCCAGATGTCCCCACTATGGCTGATTTCCTGAACATGGGGTCCATAAGCCTCAGGGGTCCATAAAACCCCTGAAATTGTAGGCAAAATGTGTGAACACACATTCATTTTTCTGAAGACAAGGTTTCAGTAGATTTTCAAAGATACATGGAGATCAGTGGTTGCCCAAGGGCTGGGGTGGAGGTGCGGAGTGACTGCCCACGGGTGACGGGTACCAGCTGACAAAACTGTTCTGAAGGTGTGATGTGACTGCACAGCCCTCCCTGTGACCGTGTTAAAGCCCGTTAAGTTGTGCACTTTAAATGGGTGAACTATATTTCAGTAAAGCTGTTGTTAAAGACAAGTATGTGTGAACAAGAAAGGTTGACAATGCAGGGAGAGCCTTGGCGATAAAGGAATGGGGTTCCTGGGCTGCTTTTAATACTATGGAGACTCTCCTGTGCCCAGTGGCCAGCAGGCCACACACAGAAGGCTGACCCGGTCGAAGGGACTGCACCAACTCTGGGTGGGAGCCCTGGTCTCAAGGGCTGGGCAAAGCTATCAGTGGCAAAGGTGGAGTTTATGAGGAATTAAAAATGAAAAACCGAATAATACTTCATGACGGGTAAACATGGAAATAAAAATTCCTACCCTGGAGCTGTTGTGAGGGTTAATTAGGCAAGTGAGAGAGGCCGGAGCAGGTCCCGGCACAGGGAGGGGGTTAATAGCATCCGTTAGTGTTATTAGCGATGGGGCATGTGCAATGCACGTTATAAATAACAGTAATGATAGCAATGTAGCAGGGGTGGTAGACAGACAGAAAGGCTCTTTATCACAGGTTGTTCGGGGGGGCACAAGAGAAAGGACAAGAAGCTGGGGGCTGCTTCAGATGAGCTCTTCAGGCCCTTCCATAGCTTTTGTCCTCACTGATCCATCTCGGCAGAGCAAACGGGCACACCGGGGTCGGGCGTGGGTCAGTAAGTGGCAGTGGGGGATGGCTCCCAGGGCTGTTCCCAGAAAAAGAGCCACCAGATTCTCAACCCTCCTTATCTTTTGTCTAGCTGCCTCCCAATGCGAGCCTCTCCTGCTATGTTTCTTTAAAGTCTTTTAAAATGTGAGCTTGCAGTAAGGAGGACCGATATAAATCACTTGAGATTAAGATTTATGGAACATGCATCCCAAGAAGGAGTGAATTCTGGATGGTAAAGTCCTCGCTCACACCAAAGTGTGCAAGGTAGAGGCACCTGATGTTTACTCAGTGACTACTCCGACCAGGGCATTCAGCTCCGTGCTTTACTTACATCATCTATTTGCATCGTTATAGCAACCCCAGAGGGTGGGCATCACTCCTACTGCATAAAGTGAGGAAAGTGAGGCTCAGAGAAGTTATTCGAATCAGCCTGTCTCATCCAAGTCCAGACACTTTCCTCTACACCAGGCAGCCCCCAGGAGCTCGCAGCCCTTTGGGAATGGGTCTGCGATTTCCGCTTCTGGCTTGAGCACCTGAGCAAGGATTCATTCTCAGCTGCAGGACAGGGTCATGAACTCCCCGGTGGAAGTCCATGGGAGTCAGGGCAGATGAGGCCGGGAGTCAGGGAAGCCATGTCCAAGATTCTTCTACTACGGTCGGGAGGGGTGCACCTCCTTCAGAGCCCGCCGCAAAGGTTGTTTGGCTTTAGAAAAATCATGGTTTTTATTTTCAGAATTAATTCATGCTTATTGGAGAATTTAGAAATGCATAACAAAAATAAAAAATCACTTGCCATCACACTGTGCAACCTTCCAGTTCTTTCTTCTGTTTGAATCTGTGTAAATGGGTACATATGTATATTCCAGTTTAGCAGGGAGTGGACTGCATATATACCTCAGTATTCATCAGCTTCAAAACTCGTCAAACTCACCACATTTTGATAAGAAAAAAGTTCCAGCGCTCAGCACTTGCTCGGGACTTGTCGAATTTGCTAGAATCTGTGTGAGTCATGCTGCCCCGCAAGAGAACACGCTTCATGACTCAGTGCTCGCCCCGTGCTCAGCGGCGAGGCACTCATCACGAGTTCCAGGATGAATTGATGACGTGCACAAGGCACCACTGTACTATTTAGCAGTTTACTCTTTTTGCTTAAAATACATCAGAACTCTTTCCAGTGTAACTGAGCACTTTGCTACAACGTAACTTTTAATGTCTGTGTTTCTCATGTGATTATTCAATAGTTTTTTAAAAGGGCTTAAGCTACATTTTAAAAGTCTTTAATGGCACTCCCCTCTCTGATCATCAAGAGAGATGGCCAGATGCCCACAGAATGTAAGACAGTACAGGGACCCAGGGGTACACCTCATGGAGACCCCACGGGGGTGGAAGGGACAGGCAAACATGGAAAGGGAGATGGGGAACTCCTAGTCACTGAATACATACCAGCAGATTCTGGTTTGGGGGCCCCTTCTTCTACTCCCCACCAAAACACAGGTCCCTTACCTGTACTGGCATAGCCCAGAGGTTTGGGCACAGGAAGAAAAACCACATGAGCTGGTTGGTGTCGATGGCAACCAGGTTACAGATCTGCCCAGCAGTCATCTCCCCCATGGATAGGTTGGATGTGGACAGGTGCATAATTTTATTGTAAATCTTGGTCTAGAAATGAGAGCAGAGTATTGCACATTTGTCATCGTTATCATCCCAGTCACCACCCCAGATGCCACATGTCTGGAACGTGCCAGGGGCTTCCCAGACATTCCCCCTACGGAGCCCAGAGCAGCTCCGTAAGAGGCCCTGCATTATGGTTCCGATTTTAAAAAAGATGTGGCCAAGGCTCAGAGAGGGAAAGGGCTTTGAGGACTGATCAAGCAAGCCAGTGAGGCAGCATTCAAGCGAGGAAGCCACGTCAGCAAGGCAAGCGACTCCCCCAGCAAGCAAACAACACCTCTCCCTTGGGGACAGGACTTAATTAGCTCTTAAATCTCCAAAGCAGATCCTCATGTCCAATTGTATTATTGATTTACCAGAGGCCAGTGGAGAACATACTTCGGGCCCATAAAAATGACAAAGGGAGGCAGCCATCTGTTTTACTGTGGCAGTCTCCAGACAGGGGATGGGGCATGCTCTGGGGCCAAGTTCTGTGCTAACTGAGCCTTGAAACAAAACAAGGGTTTGGCCTGCAATGGTCGTATGTGAGACATGATGTATGAGTGTTGATGGATCCCAGTACCGACCTGGAGTCCGGCCACTCTGGGGACCTGGCTCTGACCCCTCCAGGCAGATGGCAATGGCCATGGTAATGGCTCCCGGAGAGCTCTGAACCTAAAGCTCTATGGGCAGAGGGATTGTGCCTCCCAGAAAGATGGCAATTTTCAGGCTGTGTGCTCTTGAAAAAAGAAAAATGCATTCCTGTCTTAAATAACCTAGGGACTCCTGCTCTCAAATGAAATTCTATTGTGCATTCTGTTGTAAGGCGGAATCCCAGCCTTTAATTCATCTTTTGTGTAAACCTAGGCCTTTTTTCATGGGCCAAGTGTGCTTAAGCCATAAACCTATTTTATGGGTTTTTTTTATGAGCTTATATACATCACAGGAAAGGTTTACAAAAATGGCAATGACATTTTTGGACAAAACTATGTACATCCTAGGTTATGTGAAATTAGCCTTTAAAGAATAATAATGAAACTAGTTTCAGTGAGGTAGGAACAGAGACTAATCTATCAAAAAAAGCATTGTTAAGTGAAACCAGGATACACAGAAAGATACAACCGACTGACAGTATGCCAAAAATTATGTATAATACAGGAATTTTGCATAATAACTTTTCATGCAAGAAATGTGATTAGTCTCAAAATCATGAAGACATAGACTCTTATCTATAATTTTCTGTAAATTATAGATAATAATTTACAGAAAAATCTCTGAGAGAAGTTTTTTTCTAATTTGTTTCCATAATTAATGCTAGCATTTTCTTTTTGCGACATATGAATCAATCTCGCTTATGAATGCAAAAGATTCAGACAGTTTGATAAAACAATTATATGCTAATGCATTAAAGAACCACTTTGCCTCTTTTAGCGTAATTGGAAAATACGGGGCCAGAGTGTGAGCGATGACACACAAACAGGACGTAGATTTAATCACAAAACTGCGCGGCTACAACATTGGCTGTTGTTTGTGGGGATGCAAGTGTACCTGTCCCCGGAGTGGTCCAAGCAGAGGCTGGGATTTTTCAGAGAGGTTTTTTGAACTGAGCAAAAGCTTGGTTCCTCCTCGCTCTGAGCCCCTCCGAGTCTTAGAGAGTCCTTTCCTGGGCTCTTTCCAGGCAACTGGGGAAGGGCAGCACTGTCACGGGCAGCTGTTTAGGCTGTGCATGGCATAATTCCAGGGGCCCCCTGCACACGCACACGGACTACACCGAGATAACCCGAGTTCAGACCCTGACACCTAACCCCACCCAGGCTATTGCTTTTTCCTCGCAGGTCCTTTTCGACAAAGCCGCTGAGCCTAGCTCCCAGAGGACCTGTCAGTGTTCATGGTTCTGAAGCACATTTCCGAAGAATGAGGTGGCTTTGGGGTTTAACCACAGCTTCCTAGTGTTTTACTGACTTCATGGGAATCACTGGACATGGCAGAATCTGGAGCCATCCCCCCATATCCATTCTCTCCTTTTTGCCAGAAGAGTTTCTAGCAGGGCACGTGTGGCAGTCAAGATGAAAGACCCCACTTTTTAGCCTCTCTGGGCACGGCCAGGCAGCCAGTTTCTCACTGAGGGGATGGAAGGGAGTATGTGCAACTTCTGCGCTATACTTTTGAAAGAAGGCAGCAAGCATTCTCTCCTGTTGTTCTGTCTTTTTTTCCTGCTGGTTTCAATATAGATGTGGTAGTGGTGATTTCAATAGCCGTCTTAAACCCTAAGATTGAAGTGATTGAGAGAAGGCTGGCAGAGCAACATTGCAGAAAGAACCAAGGTCTCCGATGACTGTGGAGCTATTACACCAGCCCTGACTAACTATGAAAAACAAAATTCTATCCTATGTAAAGCACTTTCATCCTGGGTCTCTTCATTCCAACCTCTGAACCAAAATTCTAATAAAAACACTGGAGCATGGCCAACTCTGGCCCCCAGCTTGCCTAAAGGGACCCTGAGTCCTTCCTGACTTTGATCCTCCTTCCCACGGACTCTGAGAAGGGATCTACAGAAGGCGGCAGCAAGAAGCTAGACCCAAGGGACCTATCGGACCAGATAAGTCTCCGGCAGACCTTAGAGGCTCTCTAATCCTGGTATGTCAAACACATTTCCTGTCCTGCACCCAAAAAAAGACTGGTCTAAGAACTCTGGAACAGCACTAAAGGAGGACCCCGGGGCTGCATTTGCATTCAGCAGGAAAGAGTGTTGTGATGGATTAGTGATCTCCTCCCATTCAAAGCTGGAATGCAGGGAGGTCCAAGGGCTGAGTAGCTGATATTCAGGGTCTAGTCCAAGGCAGAACCAGGGCTAGAACTGCTACATTTCCTAAGTCCAGCCCGAGGCACTTGCCACTGTCCCACCCTGTGTTGTCAATGCTGGTTGTCTCCAAACACTGTGAAAGGGCCGTAAAGAATGATCCCTGTGTGTCCGTGAGAGCGAGTGATGTGGTTCTTGCTATGAAGTGACAAAAATAATCATCCAAGTACCTGTATTGCTCCTCTCAAGTTAATTCCGGTCTCAATGGCAACGTAGTAGGATGCTTGCAGAAATGTCCTTTGCAGGAGGAGGGCAAGGAAGAGCAGCACGGCCAAGACGTAGGCGTTAGCGAGGAACTCTTGGGATGAGACGAAGTAAACCCCGAGGAACTGTGTCTGGTGGAAAGAGAAGTTCGGAGGTGACGGTCATGGTCAGCAGGAAGACTGCCATGAGTGCCTGCTACTGTGTGCAAGGGTCATCACTGCAGGACCCACCCATGCTTGTAAAGCCTCCTGCAACTGTTTATGAGTGAAAGATCAGACTGGTAAATTAAACAATTTCTTAATTATAGGGAGGGCTGCCTATACCCACTTCAACATCCGTTTGGAGGAACAGAATGCGGCCCAGCTCGAACCTCAGGCCCCTAAATATGACTCACACACAGCATTGTGGCTGGCCCAGGGGAGCTCCCTCTGGCTGGAAGAAGAATAAATAGAGCGAATCACAGAGCAGCCCAAACCAGAACTGCTAGGACAAATCCCACGATGTGTGTTCTCGGCCACAGAAATGGAATCAGGGAAGGCCTTGTCCCACGCTCACCAACAGCCTGCTGTGCAGTAATTTCTGGACAGAAGGACCAGGGGAAAATATGGCACGGCTGTGCTCCCAGGCGGGAGATGGGAACACATTGCCTCTAACAGACTGAAAAGATTTTGGACCCACGCCCCTCAGCCTTGCGGGCTCCCAGGACCTCCTTTGAAATGTAAGGTTCGCTTGCTGCACCTCCAGCAAGATCTCAGATGATAAGCAGTGGGAAAAAAAAAGGTTTGACTTTGTTGCTAAAGATACCAGGGAACAGCAACCAGCAGCTAGAGCCTGCTTCCAAATTCAGCATCGAGAGCTCCCGGGAAAACTTTGATCTCGGTTAAGTTCACTGCTCCCCAGCAGAGCCACATCAATATTTCCATGAAGACAGACCTCTCCCCTCCTGAGGCTCTGCCCTGAACTCTGTAAGCGGTTTGGAAGGGTGTGGGAGCTGCTGCGGGGAAAACGCCCTGGGAACAAAGTGATGGGAAGGAGCAGAGGGCGGGTCCCTGACGGAGATCAGGATGAAAGGGGCAGGACTCTGAGTGGACTCCTTTCCCTAGAGTCGACATTCCTGGATCCGGGATACAGGCTTCCTGATGGGGGAAAAGGTACTGCCTTTTGGTTCAACGGGGCTCTCTAAATTGGCCCTCGCTGCTCCGTGGAGCTGGTCCTGCTTACGATGGTCTCTCCCTTGCTCTGTGGGGCAGGAGTCTCTCCCTTTTGGGGACAGCAGGAAGCAGACACAGTGAAACCACGAGGGATACCCGCAGGACTCTTAGAGGAAGGCCAACTGAGGCCTGAAGGCTCCAACTCTCTTTCTCGTTTGTCAAAGTACCAGAGGGAGAAAGGAGAAGGTAGTGAGTGGGGGTGGGTGGGAAGCAGCAAAATGGACCTTGAAATTAGGCTGCAGAGTGGGGTGGGGGTAAACCTGACCTTGCAGGGAAGCAAGGGGCAGGGCACACTATCAGGGGCTGAACTCTATACTCATAAAACCAGAATGAGAAGGGTGGCATCATTAGCCCAGTTTTATAGACGGGGAAATGGAGTTTTAGCACAGGTAAGTGGCTGGCCCCAGGTCACATGCTGTAAAGGGAGAATGTGTGAACACCAACATGTATGATGCCAAAAACACGACCCCAGACCTCATGCTTAGGGCATCTAGCCTTTTGACCTTGAGTCTTTTACTGTCAGCTCTAAGCTTCTGACTTGTGGGGGAGAGAAGCACGCCCACTTGGCTGGTTCTGAGTCAAACATGAAGTCATGCAGGGAATTCTTCTGTGCTACTGTTCTCTGCAGAGACCCAGTTCTGGAGAACAGAGCCTGCTCTTTTAAAGCAACAAAGCACATAATGGGAATTCATTCCAAAGGAGATAATTTAATGTAAGGAAATGGCTGTATGTGCAAAAACGGCTATCTTCGGATGAGAGAGGGGGAGAATGCAACAGTCCCTGTATGTAAACGTCTAACCACAGGGAGTTGTTGGGTGTATGTGACACCCAAGGGAATGCTCTGCACCCAAAAGCATTCATCGTCATGAGAGCTCTTGAGCAGCTCAGAAGGCCACACGGGTGCTGCCGCATCTCCGTGGTCAGAAAACGCACAGGGAGGGGAATGCGGGCTGGAAAAAGAAATGGATCCTGAGCGTCAGTCAGGTGTGGGTGGTACTTATTAAACGCACTCATCCACTCATCTGCATTTGCACATTTTTAAAAACAAGGCAACATGTTCTCTTGTTGCAGTTGTGACCACAGAGCCTTTATCCCTTCCCCTGCAACACAGACACCCTAGGGTCAGAAGCTGCCTTTCTTTGGATCAGGAGTTTGGTGACCTGTTAAAATAAAAATCTCCTTGCAGGTATAAGCATGAGGTCATTATTTCACCTTTCTTCAAAAGAGACAGCTTAAAAAGGATGGCGCTAGAACAGCAAAGTTTTGGTTAAGAAGTAGGTGCTAGATGAGCCAAAGAGGCGGGGGTGCTGCCCAAGGAAGGCAGGCCCTGGTGAAGTCTGGTGAGAGGAGGGTCCTGGGAGGCCATGCACACCGAAGGCGTCATGGCAGGAGAGGAAAGGCCAAGGACCTACAGCATCACATTTGGTGGAAGGTCAGGTGCCCTAATCTCACATTGCACAAGCTCTCTGGGAAGAAACTGTGTTTGTTTCCAGAGATTTCCCCAACAGTATTTAGTAAATATTTGTAAGATTAAGCAATGCATAAGATCTTCATATCCCATCTAATCTCTATAGAAGTTATTACACATTTCCCCATTTTGCAGTGGAGCCAACAGAGGCTGCAAAATGTAAGTGACTGATGAAGAGCAGAAAGTGAGTTCGTGGCAGAGGTAAGACTAGAACCCTGGACTCATGGCTCTACAGCATGACCCCCATTGCCCCTGCCTGGCCAAAGGTATGACAAGAAGGCCCCCTTCCCTTGTTCTCTGTAGCCAAAGGAGAGGGGTCACTTGAACTCTTGCTTCTGATTTTGGAAGGACCCAAAATGTGAGTTGCCTATAAGCCCCAGCCCTGGGGGGCTGTGGGTAAAAACAATGAGAACTATTTTTGGCCATGCATGGACCAACATACCCACCCTTCTGTCCCCAGCCATTTGGTGTGGTGGTTTCGAGCCTGGCCTTTGAGGCAGCCGTGTCTGAGTTAGAGTGCCGACTCACTGTGTACTCATCCTTAGGCAAGTTCCTAACTTCTCTGAGCCTCAGTTTCCTCGCTTGTGAAACAGCGCCATGGAGAGTTTCTACTTTAGAACATTGTTGTGTGGATCCAATGTGGCAATGCAGGTTAAAAAATTTAGTAAGTGTGAGCACTCAATGTATGGTAACTTCTGCATTTTTTTTTAAATTTTATTTTTATTGTATTTTTCCCATTACTGTTTAGTCCCCTTGTGCCCCCTCGCCCCCAGCAATGACCACACTGTTGTCTGTGTCCTGCATTGTTTTTTGAAATCATTCCTCCTGCGCCTCCTGGCTGCCAGGCCTACAGCCAGGAGCTCAGCATGCAGAGGGCAGATGATGCAGTTCCTGTCTTAAGGGACTCAGAGTCATGTCAAGGAAGAAGGCAAGGGGTGCTTTGCTGATGCAAGCATAGGATGTTATGGGAGCACAGAGGAGAGGCATCTGATTCAACCAGAGGAAGGCTTCCTGGAGGAGGTGACATTTGAGCTGGGTTTTGGCAGCCTAGAAGGAGTCAGTGAGGTGAATGAGGGAAGGCGCACCAGGCCAGAGCAAAGGCATGGGCGCTGTCATGAAGAGACCCACCCACACATGGATTTTGCAGAGTCACAGAAATGCATGTAAGTTCACAAAGTCACCCATAGTGATAGCCATAATTATGGGCATTCAAATGGGGTCGCAGACACACATGGAAAAAGACATACCAGCAGACACAGGGATCCAAGAAAGGACACACAAATGGCATCCTAAGCAGTTTCCAGGAGAACTCATTCAGGAATAAGCACATACACATTCACAAATCTCCATGCTCTCCCACCGAGATTTAGGGACCGGTCAGAGCTTTGGCCCTTGGACAGTACCCAGGCTGCTCCTCCCTTCACTGTTCAGCTGACAGCCTAGGGCAGCGCTGGCAGCTTCAGATGCCAGTAGTTCTTTTGAATCCAATTTCCTCACCCTCCAGCCAGATCAGCGGCATCCATGGCAGGTGACAGATTGTGGGTGGGGGTTGGGCAGGAGAGGGGCTGGAAAGAGATATATAACAAACCGTGCCCAGTCTGGGTCCCCGCTCTTCCTGGGGAGTGGCAGTGGGCACAGAAGCGTCACAGATTTGGCAGGCCATTAAGGCACTTCCAGTAATTAAAGAAGAAATAAGAAATGTGTGTCCTTGCAGATGCCAAGGGCAGTGGGATTCTTGCCAATGGTGAGTGTCCTGGAAAAGGAAGAGAGGACAGGGTGGCCACTGATGATGAAGTAAACAATGGTGCCCGGCTGGGCAGACAGCAGCGGGGTGGATACCGGCTAAGCCTTTGAAAGAAGGGCTTTCTCACAAGGGGGCTGTTAAACACTGCCACATGTAGTAGGAGAACTTCCCTCTCTGTGGGTTCCTAAAGACCAGAATAGCACCTGTCTCTCTGGGGTAGAGCTGCTGGGAGGCAGGCGGATGCACCGAGTGACCTCAGTCAGTGACCCCTTTCCCCCACTTTCTGGGCCCAGAAGCCCAAATGAAAATTAAGCCATATCTCAGGCAACCGCACAATTGAGGGTTCTTTGTTGCTGACATTAGAGACTATTTACGTTCCACTCTCATTTCTGTGTCTGTAACTTGCTGATTGTATTTGAGCCACAGGGAACGAATATTAAACCTGGTAAGGCCTGCTGCCGCAGAGGCAGGGCCATCGGTCTCAGGGATTTATGGGCCGACAAGGAGCCGGGACAAGAGCATTCCAAAGAGAGAGCAGGCAAGGCCGGAGTCTGCAAAGAGAAAAGGGAAGGTAAAGCCAGTGTTCTGATGAACATTCTAAGTGCTGGTCTCGCCATCTCTGCGGCACATCCTGTCTCCCAGCGCTCTCCTTTGGAGAATTCCACACGATTTTGGGGAAACACAGGAAGAAGAAGACAAGTAGATAAGGGCTCTGGCCTGCGTCACTTCCTCCTCATGTTAACAGCTGGCTCCCCGTGGCTGCGGGTTACCAGTTCTGCGCTTGCCTGTGGTCAGCCTAAAGCTAAAAGGTGATATCCCTGTGGACAAGAGAAGCAATCTCTTCCCTTCTCTTTTCGGACCAAGTTCGTCCAGAGGCTCAAATGCCAGAGAAGGCCTCGAAAGCCCTTGAAGTCTAAATGAGCAAAAAGAGTCCTCACTTTCCTGATTGAACAAGAAACCTGCCCCTCTGGGCCCAGCCAAGGCCCCAATGAAACACCCCTTCCGCCGTGAAGCTGCCACCACCACTGGCTGAGTTAGTCATTCCTTACAGTTCCCTGTATCTGCTTCCCACGGGCAGTCTCTAACACACAGTATAAAAACATCTCACTTAGCTTTCTCTCTCCTGCATTGAATCTTAGAATCCTTGAGTCCAGAGGTGCCAGCTTGGTAATAATAATTACAACAGTCAATTTGACATCATAGTGGTAAGTGCGCAGACTATGGAGTACAAGAGACTGGTTCACACCCTGACTCTGTCACGAACTAGTTGAAAGGCCCTAAGGAAAGTTACTTAAAACTCTCTGAGCTGCAAGTTACTCATCTGTAACATGGGGATAAAAATGCCAACCTTATAAGTCGTATGGTATGTGAATTATATCTCAGTGAAGCTGTCACAAAAAAAAATACTTACTCTCAGGGTCACTTTGGGGATTGAGATAACACATGGGTAACTCCCACACACAGCCGGGCATGTGGGGAGCAGTCAGCGAGTGGCTGTTATTGCCGTTCCTGGTCCTCATCATAACCACTGCCTCTGGATTCCCACAGCCTCACCCAGGTCTGGCACACAGTAGGGCTCAATAAACATTTGCTGAATAAATCAGACAAATGGACTTGGAGTGTCTCATATTCCTGGCCAAAAGTGCTCAGCTGATTAATTATAGCTCAAGAAAAAATTAATATGGGCCTCCTGAGAATGAAATGCTATCTGCAGTTTGGGAGCCCACAAGAGGAACAGCAGAGCGTGAGGGAGCGTCATACATTATTAAGGTCCCTAATTAGTAATTCTCTGCATCATTTTTGGACGGTCTGCTTGTGGTTAAAGGGTTATAATGATGTTCTTTCTGGGAAAATAAAACACTGAGTCTTATTAGAGGTGAAAAGTTTGCCGCTTTGTGACCATCTAAACCTATGTGGCAAGAAGGAAACAGATGAAAGAATTAAGCACCCACCCCCACCACCTCATAGTGGATGCTATTTATTGCAAGCAGAGAAAATAACTCCCCAGGAAAACTTTCTGGCTCTTTTGTCCAACAAATTTCAGCTTGTAGCATCTTTAACGCTGGCAGGGCCAGTGGATGTCATCTAATGCAGCGATTTTCACCAAAGTGGTGCAGCGGGCACACCGGTGGGCCGCAGGAATGTGTAAAATGTGCAGTGCCTGACTATTTAGCCAACAGCACTGACCTCTTTTCCCTGAGACTGTCAAATAAAAAAATGACAGCAGCCAACACAACAATAGCTGTACGGTGTAAATGAATCAAAATTATATCTATCTTTTGGTCAAATCAGCAAAAAATATATTTTTGGGTGTGCCATAGAATTTTAGTAATTAGTTTATGTGTCTCATGAGGTGAAAAAGGTTGAAAATTGCTGATCTAGTCCAATGAGTTTCACATATTTTTGAGACATGGAACTCCTTTTTAAAAGGAAATTCAATGGGAAAATCCAACCTGTTAATAAAACTGGTGCAGCTCTACATGGACCGTGAAGTGGGGGGAGAAAAAGCCTGGTGCATGGGGCTTCCCAGGCCCCCTTCCCTCGGAGCAGCCCCCAGACGCCCCTGAGGAGCCTGAGGGCTATGGGTACGCAGAACTGAGGAGGACAGGCCCCGAGCGGGATGGAGAGTCCACGAAGACGACATGAACTAAAAGCCAACAAATCATAAAAGCTCTTCTGCCAAGCAAACAAACATACTTCCGGCAGCTTTCTCAATGACTAAATAATCAGGAGAGGCACTATGGCAGTGACAGTGTAGTGGGGAGAGCAGGTGCCAGAAACCCTCTTGGAGCACGAGCTCACCTCCTGGCATTTCTGTTGACCGATGCGGAGCGTCTTCTAGATCTGGTTGGGGATATTGCAAAGTGAGGAGCGATATTGTGCATGCGTGAGATGTCTGCCCTGCTGCGGCCACAGCTCACACACATCGGCCTCTGGAACATTCTCATTCCCCACTGGAAACCTTCGAAAGGGTGCCCCACTCTACCCCTGGGTGGCCTACCTTGGGCTGGAAGACACGGTTCTCCTTCCCAAGATGGTCCACGATTCCAAAGATGCACAGGGGCCCAGCAAAGCCCAGCAGGTCGGCCAAGATGCGGAACGTGCTGCTGAGGACCAGGCGTCTCCCAAAGGCATGGCAGAGTGCTCGCCAGATGGCCCGGGCACCCTGTGGGCTCTGCATGTCCTTCTGCTGCCCAGAGAGACCCATGGCCAGGTCAGAGTGACTGAAGGCCCGTTCACTGCAGGGCCCGGCATCCCAGGAAGCCCCTGGCCCTTGCTGCCTGCGGAAACCCAGTGGCCATGTCTGCTGCAAACAGGTGAACTCCAGGGAGAAATCATGGAACCACCAAGTGCACAGTTGGGTGGGCCCTATCAATGCCAACATGGTCCAGATGGGGAAACTGATGCCAGAGTATTGATCAAGGTCACACAGCTGGTCAGGGGCCATGTGACAAGCACAGCACTGTAATGAGAGAGTGGCATATGCCATACTCACTCGTTACCACCTGCCACCACGTCTGCCTTGGTGTTTCCCCACCATGCTAAGGCTGAGGCAGCAAAGGAGAGCTGAACCGGAAGTCGGGAGACTGGCTCTGTTACCTACCAGCTGTGGGCTGGCTCTGGGGAGGTCATGACTTTCTCAGGGCCTCAGTTTCCTCCTCAGTGACATGGGGAGGTCCTTATCTGGCCCATCTCATAGAGTTATTGTAAGAACCAGGTCACAAATGCCCCTGCTCTCCAAAATGAGTGAAAATTTCCACCTTCAACCACTGAGCTCCAGAAGGAAGAGCACAGGGCATACGGAATCCAGTGGAATCACTTCCCTTCTTAGGGCTTCAGTTTCCCCACCTGGACAATGAGGGTGTTAGACCAGACGACCTAAACCTTAAGGGCCATCTCAGCTGTGACTGTCCTATGAATCTTTGGTCCTGGACTTGTCCCTGGTTCACTGTGTGACTTAGGGGAAGCCTCTGCCCCTCTCTGGGCCTCAATTTCCCCTCCTTTCCCACCATAGGTTTGACCTGATGCTTTCTGAGGCTCCCATCTGTGACTCTAATCCAGAGGGCAGGGAACGGATGCTGTGGCCATGCCCCCACTGACCGCTTGGGCATCGAAGGCCTCACGCAGCCGCCGGTAGTTGGTCAGAGCCCTCATGGCGATGGGCAGCTTCCCGATAACTCGGAGATCAATGGGCTTCTTGTGGGCAGTCTTGATGAAGGCGTTCATCCACCAGTAGGTGCCTTTGGACAGCAGGTTCACGAAGGGCTGCAGGAAGCGCACCCCCAGGTCCTGCAGGTCCTCAGGGGGCTTCACCTCCTTTGGCGTCTTGAAGAAGATGTATCTCTGTGGGGCACAGGTCATCGGAGATGGGCAAGTGTGGCTTCTCACCATTCTTCAGTTTGTCCCAGCAGCAAAGGTCTGAGGTTTTGACATCCCACCTTCAATCTCTAACAGATGGGGCCATCGTTTGTCTATTTCCAGGAAAAGGATTGCCCAACCCTCTTGGCGACCAACACCAGGGCCTCCTGACTCTTCACTGAGGCCTGCTCTGAATCCCCTGGGCTCGGTTGGGTTGGGCTCAAGTTAGATTGGGGAGGAGCAGAGATCTCCCATATATTGTCTTCTCCACAAATCTCAGGATACCAGCAGGGAGGGTTTCCAGAACGTGGAGCCATGAGGACCTGGGTTCGAATCCTGACTCCTCCACTTACTAGATTTTTGGACAAATCTTATCTAAAATGTTTCCTCATCTAAAAAGGGGGTGGTACTTTCATCACGGGGCTGCTGTGGGGGTCATTGAGGCAAAGAATGTAGAAAAGTTTTCTACTCTGCAAATTAACTAAAATCAGAGGAGTCAGAGAAATGCAAATTAAAGTGGCATTTCCTACTTATCAGATTGGTCCAAATTAGATATGGCTCTAACCCCCACTGCTGATTGGAGGAAGGGAAAGGGTTTTCTTATTCATTGCTGGTAGATTGCAGCTTGTCTGGAAGGTGATCTGCAACATCAGTTAAAATTGAAAACACACAGGGAGTTTGAACCAGCAACTCCACTCCTTGGACTCTCTCCCAAAGAAATAAAAGCAGCAATACATAAAGATATAGTAAGTGTGTTTAATACATCATCATTTGCCGAGGCAAAATCTTGGCAATCAAATGAATGCCCATTGATAGGTTAATGGCTAATAAATTATGGCTTAGCCACATGATGAAATATTATGCAGCTATTTAAAAACTAAATTAGGCATGCGACACTTGGGGGGAGTCCTAGGAGCTATCTGTTGGATGAGAAAAGCAAGATGCAGAAAACTGTGTAATATGATCCCATTATAAAACAAATATTGAGAGAAAAAACTGTATGCATATATGTTGAGAAAAAACCCTGAATAGATAGAAATTTATGGTATTGTAGTAATGGAAATAAAGAATGGGAGGACACATACTAGGCTGTTAATCTGGGTCACCTGGGGAAGGAAAGGCAGGGGGGAGGGGATGAATCTGAGAGAGAAAAGGGGGCAAGCAAAAGGCGTGTATGAAGCCACATTTACTCATTCATGTACATGTATGACAATAAGAACACATTAAAATAAGAACAAATATTCTCCCCTCCCCCCAAAAAATCAAACTTGGAGAAGCCAGTACCTGAAGCTTTGATTTCCTCTCTGTGGGATGGAGCCCAGGATCCTATGGTCTTGCTAACACAGCCTGTCACCTTGTCTCCCTCTGGGCAGCTGGGCCAGCTGGAATGTTGCTCCCCAAACTTCTCCCACTGGCCTCAACTCCCCTTTCTGAGGAAGGTATAACAAGCTGACTTCTTCTAGGACTTGGCTAAGGATTGGTGGGGTGGGACACTGTCAGAAGCCCCGCTCTAGCCCAGGTGTGTCCTCAGCTGGGTGAAAGGTGGGTGTAGCCCAGGAGAGACCCACTTACCCTCACCCTGATGACGTTGACCTCCACGAGCAGCAGCATCCCGTAGAGGACCACCAGCAGCCCCGTGAGGCAGAACCGCAGCTGTGAGAAGCCGATGTTGTGGTCGTAGAACTTGACAAACTTGATGGTCTTGGTGATGAAGGCCAAGGTCCAGTAGACAAGCAGGGCTGTGGAGGAGAGACAGAGAGCACAGGGTGTGTGTGTGCACAATGTGTGTGTGTGTGTCCTCATGTGTGTGCAAGTGTGTCAGAGGCGGTACGTGTGAACAAGCATGTGTTACAGTGGAGAGTGTGTACACTCCTGAGTAAAGGGATGTACACATGTGAATATATGAGTGTGTGATTTTGAGGTGATGTACAAACATTAAAACATTCATAATAGGCATGTTCAAAAAACAGTCTTAGAAGTCTAGCTGGTCTTTTTATTTTTTATTTATTTTAAAAAATATTTTATTTATTTATTTTAGAGAGGGGAAGGGAGGGAGAAAGAAAGGAAGAGAAAAATTGTGATGTGTGGTTGCCTTTCATGCACCCCACACTGGGGACCTGGTCTGCAACCCAGGCATGTGCTCTAGACTGGGAATTGAACCAGTGACTCCCTGATTTACAGGCTGGCACTTAATCCACTGAGCCACACCAGCCAGGGCAAGCTGGTCTTTTTAAATAGTAAGAAGAAAAATAGGAAAATTATTTCTTTAACTAAGTTGTAGGAGCTGTGCCAAGTGAGCACTTTATCATATGGTCTCATTTATTCCTTACAATAACCTAGTGACAGAAACAGTGTGTCAGGCCCCCCATTTTTAACAAAGGAACTGAGGCTCAGAAGGATCAGGTAATTGGTCCAAGGTCATGGAGTCATTAAGTGGCAGGACTGCCCATACGCTCCACCCTATACTGGCTTCCTTGTGGAATTTCCAAGCCGAGAGGATCTTAACAGTCCTTCATTCCAGCCCTTTAATTTTTCATATGAGGACACTGAGGCCCAGAGAGAGGAGATGACCTGCCCAAGCTCACTGCAAGCTAGTAACAGAGAAAGGGCAAGGGTGTCGGCCCCTGGCTCTCCAGTCCAGAGCCCACTACAGTGTGACGCCTCTCATTAGGGAGTCTGGGATGGGGGGAGATACAAAAAGTGAGTCACGGATCTGGGAGGCAGTGTGTACAGGCACTGGAGCTGGGTGTTCTAATTAGAATGGGTGCTCTTTGGACATTAGCTGTTAACATTGTGATTATCTCTAGATTACAGACCTGGGGCCATAAACATCAGGAGCTATCAGTGGATTCTATTCTCTTAATTCCCACCACCTCCACCCACCAATAAACCACTGTTAGCAACCACAACAACAACAAAAAAGCACAGGAAGCTCCTTCTGCCTCACTTCCTAGAGCCATCTGCAGATAAAACCAATCTAAATCCCCTTGAGCTCCTCTCTAGAGGAACCACAGGGAGGGAAGGAGAACTTCACCCTGCCCTCCATCCCTAGGTGGGCCTGGACATGAATGCCAGGGCATCTTTTGAAAACAAAAGCTGGGGTCTGCCCCAGCCTATTTCTGGGCTGGGTGTTAGGTTGAGACATTGAACTTGTTTGTGGAGGGGCAAATGCCCTGTCTCAGGTCCCAAGGCAAGAGCTTTAGGACAGCATTAGAAGGCAGAAGCATCCTAGGGACATTTCAGTTCGGTCTGGTCTCCAGGTCACAAGAAATTCCGTAGCTGGAGGCCATTTCCCCGCTTCCACACCTACCCTCCCCCAGACAGACTCTGTCCCAGGAACAGAACCTTCTTCACCCTTACTGATGGTCATCTACTAGAGCCAAGATTCAACCATGTGCCTCACACCGGTCTTGCCTCTAACACTTAACAGACATGGTCTGATTTGATCTTCATAACAGCCCTATAAACTGAGTCAGAGACTTACTATTCCTGTCCAGGTAGGAAAATGAGGCTCAGAGAGCCTAAGTGTCATGTCCAAGGCCACACAGGGAGTTAGTGGTAGACCCAGAACTAAGCCTAGGAGTTATTTCCACAGTCCCAACCTACAGCGCTGAGCCTCTGCCTGTTGCCAGATGCAGCAGCATCCTGCAAAAGCTCAGTGCTTGACCAAGAAAAGGGGAGAGGAAAAGGGCAGTGTGACACAGAGGTTGCTGGGAGGTTTAAGCTCAGAATGCCTGTTCCTCCTGCTTATTTCCTCCCTTTCCTCTCCCTCAGCCCCACATTCCACCCATTACCAAGCTCTGTCGATTTTACCCCCCCAAACATCTCGAATCCATTTCTTTCTTTCCAGTGAGGTGCCCTCCTGAGTCCGGGGCACCCTCATGTCTATCCTGGACCCCCTGAGGGCCTTCTCGTGCTTCCACACTCCCCCTCCTCCAATCTAGCCTCCATAAAGCAATACACACCAAATATGGTCTCAATGCACCCATGTTAGCGGCAGCACTATTCACAGTAGGCAAAGGTGGGGGCAACCCAAGTGTCCAGCAGATGAACGGACAAGCAGAATGTGGCATGTACATACAATGGAGTATCATTCAGGATTAAGAAGGAAGAACATTCTGTCACATGCCACAGCAGGGGTGAACTTGGAGGATGTTATGCTAAGTGAAATGAGCCAGCCACAAAAGAACACAATAGTGTATGATTTCAGGCATACGAGGTGCCTAGCTTACTCAGGATGACAGAGACAGAAGAACAGTGTTTGTGAGGGGTGGGCTGGTAGAGGGAAATGGAGCTGTTTAATCGCTACAGAGTTTCAGTTTGGGAAGACGAAAACATTTGGAGATGGATGGCGATAACTGTTACACAACAATCTAAATATACTTAATTCCACTCAGCTATATACTTTAAAGTGGTTAAAATGGAAAATTTCATGTCACCCCACCCCCCATCCTCCATGGTTTCCCACTGCCTTTGGGGTGGAGGCCAATGCCTGCGGGTGCCAGCCCCACTGCCACTCCCGTCTTCCGCATTCAGCTGCCTTCTGCTCTGCACTCCAGCCACTGTTTTTCTTCCAGGTTTCCTAATGCGTCAGCCTCAGGACCTTTGCATGTACTATTTCTTCTCCCAAAGCACTCCCTTCTACTTCTCTTAGTTAGTTAGTTCCTACCTGCCCTTCAATCCTCAGCTCGAACATGACTTTCTCATAGAACAGTTCCTGGATCTCACCTGGGACCCCAGCATCGGGGTTATTATGTGGGACAATGTAAGCTGTGTCATGGTTCACCTTTCTGTGGGACTTGAGATCTGTGAGCAGAGAGTTGCCTCCTCAGAGTGCCGGCTATTCCCCCAATTCCCATTACCCTCTATCATCTCCATTATTCCCTGTTCTAGAATTTCTGACTCTGTGGAGAGCAAAACTAACAAAGGGGAATGGAGGGAGTTAGTCCTTGTTCCTTGGAGAAGGACAGGGCCATTGATGGGTGGTAATGGTACTTTAAGGAGAGAACGTTATGTGCTTACTGGAGGTTGAGAAAATGCACTCACCAGTTGCCCAGACGTGGCGTTTCCAGGGGCACCAGTCAGCCAGGCCCTGGTGGTTAATGAGGGATTGTCTGTGCGTGCGAAACTGCTTCAGAACCTGGAGCGGGGAGCTCTCTGAAGCCTGTATTTAACATCTCTCCACTTGCTTCCCCCTAGTCCTCCAACCACACTCACTTGGGCCCCAGGGGTGGGGGATCGCCCAGATGATTGACGGATCTCAGCTTGCTCGGGAATGCACACCCGTGCTTAGCCTGGGAAACACTATCTACCCACTCATGACTGTGCTGTCTCTGCCTTAATACAGAGAGTTCCACACTGCGGATGTCATTGGGGTGCTGTGACACCTAAAATTCACAGTCTGACTTAATGACACACAGTCTGACCACAGCCTAACAGCCAGATGGACAGCCTGGTGTTAGACACAGAGACTGAGCCCAAACCCGGAGGCAGACCTGCGGACTTCCACCTCTAGCCCACGCATAGCCTGAGGACCCTTGGATGTGTAGTCTCAGAAGCAGTTACGAGCCTGCTGGGGTGCCAGACTCCCAGCACCCTGCTGGGCAGGCTAGGGCGAGTCACAAAACCTGAGCCTCTCTTTCCTGACCTGTAAAGGGGAAGCAATACCGGTGCCACAACAATACTGCACAGCATTGTTGTAAGGATGAAAAGAGTTAGTGTGTGTAAAAGGCTTCCGATAGTGTCTGACACATAGTTAGTGCTAAATGAGTGCCCACTCTTAGTATTTTTAACCTCTAAATTTCAGTGTCCACATCTGTAAAATGGGGGTAGCAATAGTGGCAATAGGGAGAGTGTGGGGATTGAGTGAGATACTGCCTGTAAGAAGCTTAGCACTGAGCCTGGCACGCAGTACATGCTCGATAAGTGTCAACAGTTACCAGTTTTGTTTCGGCCTGGGACCCCGACCACACGGTGCCAGAGCCCTAAGGTGGCACTCCTTCCTGAGGCTCTTTAAATGTTGCAGCGAACCACAGGTTCGGGTGCTGCAGCCTTTCTCTGCTCTCTCCAGGCGACCTCATCTGGGCTCAAGTTTTAGATGCTACCTACAAGCCTGGAACTGCTGAATGTGTACCTCCAGCCCTGACCTCCCCATCTCTCTAACTATGACTCATTTATCTAATTGCCTATTTGACACTTGAGTTGGCATCTCAGCAACATCTTAAGCTCAACATGCAGAGAGAAAAACTGATCCCTCCCCACCCCGGTGCCTGCTCCTTTTCCATGTTTGCCTAGGCACTCAGACCCAAAGCCCAGGAGTCATCCTTGCTCCGCCTCTCGCCCCTGACCTCATCTCATGCCATTCTCCTCCTTTTTCATTTGATTCACCCACACTGGTCCTTTGCCAAGTTTCTTCCTACCAGGAGTCCTTTGCACATCTGCAAAGTCCTTGCTGTTCCATCTGCACAGAATACCCTTCCCCCAAATATCTGCAAGTCCGCTCTGGTCTGAAGCCTCCTCTGTACAAGCAGCAGCATTGCCATCACTCTCTACCACTTACCCAGCTTTGTTGCCTTCATAGCATCGTCACTACTTGTTTGTTGGTTTATTTACTGTCTTTGCCTATCTATAGCTCCATGATGGCAGGGTTTTGTTTTTTCTTCTCCACTTCTGAACCCCTAGCACTTAGAAGAGAGCCTGGCACATAGGAAGTCCTCAGTAAACACTGTCTGAAGGAACATTACCTATCCGTCCCCAGCCCCTTTAGCTCCCCTACCGATCAGCAGCTTAGGGAAGTTGGAGGTCTCGATGTTGTGATAGTAGACCACGGAGGTGACAGCAGCCATGAACGCCATCCCGGCCGGCATGTACAGGTGAAGATGGCGGGATTCGGTCACCCTGAGATGGGGGCAAGAGACAGACAGACAGAGAGGATTTGGATATGCTGAATACATCAATGGGGCAGCCCAGGCCTTGCTTAGGACCCAGCACACAGTGGGGCCTCCGGGACACGAGTACAGCTCCACCCATATGCTGACAGCTCTGCCCAGCCCACACCCCATCTGTGCCTGTTAACTAACAGGCCCAGGAGGCCACATGGAGCTGCTACGGAGGCTTGGTGTTCAGGCTGCAGAATTCACGGCCTTCTTTCCCTGGGTCCGTGCCCACAGAACCTGGCATAGGAAAGCCAGCAGTCGCAGCTGCAAAGCCTCTGGCCTGGGACCACTTTTCTGGGAGTGAGCACAGCTGGGTCTCTGTCCTCAGGGTCCTCTGGGTGGTGCAGGGGCCGGTGCAGCCCTGCCCTCCCAGTGACGGCCCCATTTAACGTGAACAGTGAAGTCAGCACCGGCTCTCCTCCCCAGGTGGTGTAATGACAACACTGAGGGTCAATATTTATTGAGCATTTACCATGTACCTGCCACTGTCCTAAGCACTTTTCGTATGTTAACTCACTTTATCTTCATAAAATTCCAGGAAGTCAGTATTCTGAGTCTCCTCATTTTGCGGTTGAGGAAACTGAGGCATAGAAAGGTTACGTAACAAGCCAAAGGTCACTGTTTTTGTTTCCTCCATTGGGCTGTGGGTGGAGGCAGCCAATAAGAGCTCATGCCCTCCCCCACTTTAACTCACACAGGCCTCGGTGGGTGGGTTCTGGTCTGGGGATAAGACCCGTGGGGACCCTGACTCTCCCAGACCTCAGGCTTCCCTGTGACTGGTAAGGAGGCTCATTCACTCGCTTGGTCTTCATCATGCCCTTCCAAGGCTCCCTCCTACAGATGGCAAAACCCACAGCCAGCACCGAAGATTCAGTGATGTGGCCTCAAACCATTTTTCTGGCATTGCCCAGACTGCTCTTTCTCCTGAAGCCATGTTGGGATCCCCACCATTGCCAGAGGCCTCCTCTGGGTGCTGTTCTCACTTGCACTGCTCTTTCTACACAGCACGCCAAGGGTCTACACCCTCAACAAGCTGACAGTGGGGGCCTGGACCGCCAAGCTCAGAGCTGACTGACCAGACAGTCTAGGGAAATGATACTGCAGATGAACAGAAGGCTGAGAGCACAAAGGGGCTGGTGAGCAACGAAGGAAAGCTTCACAGAGGAGGTAGCACTGGGCTGGACTTTGAAGGATGAATAGGAGTTCAATAGAGATGAAGCAGGGAACACAAGGAGAGCCATGTTGGAACCCCAAGTGGTCTGGTGGGACTAAGGAATAGGTATAGAGGCAGGGTGAGCTGTTCATCATAAAACATGCTCCTCTCCTTCCACGACAAAAGAAACACACATTGCTCCAGCAGCCATGCACCCAGCCTCAGGGAATGGATGGTGATTGGTTTAAGCCACCAAGCAACTCCATACCCCTTTGCTAACGATTGGTCTAACAGTGGTCATATCATCCAGTTCCAGCCAATGAGATGTAAAGGAAAGTCTGCAGAGGACATCTGTGTAAGGAAGAGGCACATGGGGAAGCATGACACCTTTGCCCTTGCCCAAGTGATGCCCGCAGCTGGGCAGCCGTTTTGTGACCGTGAGAAAAGATACAGCAGACACACAGAGGATGGTGTAGAAACATGGGTCCCTGATGCCATCACTAAGCCATCACACCAACTAAAAAAGATGACCTCCAGATTTCATGTTAAGTGAGACTATAAATGTCAATATTCTTTAATCTTTAATTAATGGATATTTTCAGCAAAATACTGATATAGGAGGCCCAAGGCAACCAGTCACTAGTGAGGATGTTGGGAGCAAGCAACACTCTTCCCGGGGGTCTTCAGAACTCTTGCCCCTGTACTCCTTGAACTAATTTCGAAAAACCCTGTACTCGCTCACACACTTTGAAAGTGACATCTAAAGTGTTACAACATTAAGTTAAAATAAATTATTTTTTGGCAATAGAAGGCAGAAATGATAAACATTTTATAAGATGAAATAACACGAGGAATAGTCATAACTGAAATGAATATTTCAACCTCAATGAGATATCATCTCACACCGGTCAGAATGGCTACCATCAATAAATCAACACACAACACGTGCTGGCAAGGATGTGGAGAAAAAGGAACCCTAGTGTGATATTGGTAGGAATGTAGTCTGGTTTAGCCATTGTGGAAAACAGTATGGAGTTCCTCAAAAAAACAAAAATGAAACTGTCTTACAACCCAAGTGATTCCACTTCTGGATATTTAACCAAAGAAAAACAACACACCAATTCAAAAGAATCTTGAATTGGTTTGAATATGTTTATAGTAGTGCTCTGTACAATAGCCAAATGCTGGACACAGCCTAAATGTCCATCAGTAGATGAGTAGATAAAAAAGCTGTGGTACGTTTACACAATGGAATATTATGCAGCAGTAAAAAAGAAGAAACTTTCATTTTGCAACAGCGTGGACAGACCTGGAGAAAATGATGCTAAGTGAAATAAGCCAGTCAGTGAAAGACAAATACCACATGATCTCACTTGTATGTGGAATGTAATGAACACAATAAACTCACGAACAAAACAGTAACAGAAGCTTAGATACGTAAAACAGACTGACAGCTGCCAGAAAAGAGGCAGCAGAGGGGGTTGGCGAGAGGCTGGATGAAAGATGGCAAAGGGATTAACCAAAGAACATTTAGGTATGACCCACGGACACAGCCAACAATGTGGGGATTAGCTTGGGAGGGGAGAAGGCAGGGCTGCGTGGAGGTGGGGAAAGGGAGAAAAAGCAGGAACAACTGTAACAGCATAAACAATAAAAATATAATTAAAAAAGAAATAAATATTTCATGGCATGACCTCATAAAATCGGTTTCGGCTGCTTTACTACGCTGAATTAGGAAGAAATTAGGTAACATTTTTAATATGTGAGTGAATGGTGGTCTGGGAAAGCATTTCACTTATGTTTTTAAAAAGTGTTTCCTCCTTAACCCATACTGCTGTGGTTGTTCTGAACTCAGTATCACACACAGAAATAATACCCAAAGGAAGACAGGAAGCCCTGAAGGTAAAGGATGGTGTGGTTCACTACATGAGGCTTACCCTAAATTAAAGACAAGTTTGAAGATGACCGCTTTAGCCAGCCCCACTCCCACCTGCCCCCTACACTTCCAGGCAGTTCTGCAAACCCAGGCCAGGATCTGTGATTTCCTCCTGTCTGCTGCTTTCGGATGTCCCTCCCTCACGCTTGCTTGTTTGGGGATGGAAACCAGCAACGACCAGCAAATGCCCAATTCAGGAGCTGACCTGTCTGCCAGGAAGAAGCTGGCTGTTTGCACTGAGCTGGAGAAGTTTGGGATACAGGTGCAGCCCACACAGGAGGGGCTGCTGCAGAGCCAGAGGAAGAAGCCTTCGACCTGATTCATTTCTGTCTCCCACATGCTGGGGCTGTGCTACCTGCCCAGGACTCTGACACTCCTTGCTTGGTACCCTGTTTGTGCTCTACTTTCATCCTCCCACCTGCAATGTCCCTGTGTCCTGGCTTCAGTGGTAATCTCTCTGATAACTGCTTGTCTTGGGGCTCCTCCCGATTATCAAAGGCCTCAGACCAGCAAGAAGACCAGAAGACCATCCTGCTGTCTGTGAAGCAGGCAAGGCAGCTATTATGATGCCCATTTCACAGGGAGAGAGAGGCTGGGTGGCTTGCCCAAAGTCCCACAGCTGGTATGTACATAGCAGAAGTGCCAGCAGAAGACCCAGGCCTACCTTCCCCTTGGGCAGAAGTATCTTCCTCTCTGTCACCTGCTAATTATAACCCAGTGAGTATTTCTGGCCTAGAGGCTCACAAGGCATCCCTCCCCTATCTAGCATTTGTGTGCTTTGAAAGGGGTGTTGGAGACTTGTCACTTGCTAGTTGTGTGGCAGTATGCCTTCTGGTCTTCTTGCTGGTCTGAGGCCTTTGATAATCGGGAGGAGCCCCAAGACAAGCAGTTATCAGAGAGATTACCACTGAAGCCAGGACACAGGGACATTGCAGGTGGGAGAATAAGGGATTGTGTGGGGGGGTGGGGGATCCCATCCCCACACCACCCAGCTGCAGGAGCCAGGGCTGGCAGCAGTGGGTCTGGGCACAGATTCCAGCTCAGAGGGGCCAGACCTCAGACGTTTAAGCCAAATGCCCCCACTCTTCACCACCACCTCCCCCGGACAGTCGCCATGCCTTTCCGATTCTCCCCCTCTTCCTTAGTGACAAGGCTGCTTCACCTCCTCCTCCTCTGCACCCCCAACTGCTGACACACCATTTTCAGCTGCTGTTATTTCTCACCGTGACTACTGCAGTCACCTCCTAAGTGCTGTTTCTCCCTCCAGGCTCTGCTCGACTCCAGACCTGCCCTGGACACCCTGTAGGGTTCTCACCTAAAAGTGCTGTGCTGATTATGCTCATCCTTCAGGGCTCCCCTTACTCACGTGCTGTGTTTCATGCTTCAGCCCCATGTACTACTCACCGCCCCCCCCCTCTGGCTTTTCTCAGTGCTACCTTTGTTCCTACAGGCAGGGGGAGCTGACTGTGAGGGCGCTGGATGCCAGCCGGGCTGAGGACTTGGGAGCTTATATACAATTGGAAACTAAGGAAAGATCTTAAGCAAGAGTAATTTCTTCCCCCAAGAAGGTAACTCCAGTAGCTTGTAGAAGAGGTTGGGCATCTTCCATAGGAGTTGGGATGCTCTGATGGGCTCTACGGTTATGCACTAGGCTGTGGCATACAGATCTGGGTTCCGTGAACCCTGCTGCACTGAGAGCAGGGCCTGAGTCTCCCTTGTGCCTGGCACAGAGTCTGGCACACAGGAGATACTGGGTAACCAGATGCTGGATTTGTCAGCAAATAATACTGGCTCATGGGAAGCCGGTGAGCTGGGGGCTCCCTGAGCCTCTCGGCGAGCAGACCCATTCTCCTGAGTTCTCAGACAGTTACTCACCCATCAGACAGGATGCCCTCTGCGATCTCACACACCAAGACGAAGAGCAGCATGAAGGTCAGGATCCAGCGCAGGTTGTGCCCAGGGAAGTGGAGCCATGTGCTGTGGTGAATGTGCACTTTGGAGCTCTGGCTGCCCCATCCTGCAAGGAGGGACAGGAAGAGGCAGGAAACCTGGTGAACAGGGAGGATAGTGCATAAACCCTGGGATGGTGCTTAGGCTTTGGGTCCACAGTGGGGGGAGAGTGCGCCTCTTCGTACACATCTGCATATGAATGCCAGAGTCTGGTACACGCAAACTAAACCGGGACCTGCCCAGGACCACCTATGCAGGAACTCATTTTCTATGTTGATCTCTTGTGTGACAAGACATTATGTAAATAAACCATTTGGTTGAGAACAGAAGTGTAAATGCTGGTATAATTTTGATATACATATGAGCATGTGTTTTTGTCAACAACTAGCAAGTCTTTGCTTCTGCAGCATCCTGCTCTTTTTAACTTCGTGACAATATTTTCTTTCTTCCCTCGGAGTGAATTAACACCTTTTGGGGAGACAGGGGGCACCCCGTGAGTTGACAAACCCAGCCAGCTTGGGAAATTCAAGGTCGTGAAGAGAGATGACGGGGACCCTGCGAAGAGGCACGCATGCTTGTCCGGGCAGTGGCACCCAACTTGGCAGAGAGCTTTCAAGCAGGGGCACTGGGGGCCTCTGGTGTCCAAAGTCAGGGGCTGCTCGATACACGGAGCCTGAGAAGTTGCCTTCCGAAGACGCGCCCAGGTGGGGTGGCAGGGAAGAGGATCCAAGCCCCTAGTTCCCGCCCCTCCTCGCCCAGGCCGAGTGGGACCCTGGGACTGACAGAGACTGCACAGGGGTTTGCAGGGCCTCCATCCCCGCCTCTGAGACGCAGGCTGCACTCCTGGGCCCAGCTGCGACTGACAGGGAGGGAGCCTGGGGGGAGGGGTGACCTGGCTCCCCACCGGGCACCGCCGAGGTTGCAGCCCGAGCTCCTCCGGACCTTTTCAGTGCGTACAGAAACCTCTGCTTTCTTCTTTCTCCTTCCTAGCTCCAGCCCTGAGGTGGGAGAACTTGGGGATCCCCTGGGTCAGAAGCGTCCTCCGTGTTTAATGCATGTTCGGGGTCAACCCGGGAGTGAGGGGATCGCGTGCAGGGACCTTGGGTTAGTACGCAGAGCAGGGGACCCCGGGAGGGGGGCGAGCGGCGGTCTCGGGCCGTAAGGGGACACTGAGCGGTACGGCGGGCGGGCGGCATCTCCTCCTCCTCCCTCCCCTCCTCCGCTGCCCACCAGCGCGCTCACCGATGAAGAGGATGGGGAAGGTGATGAAGAGCAGGAAGACGTGCGGCACCACGTTGAGCGCGTCCACGAAGCAGCCGTTGTTGAGGACGCCCTGGTCCACCCGGTAGGCGGCCGAGTGGTTCTCGCTGCCGCAGAAGGCCAGGGGCATGGCGGCGCGGGGAGGGCGCGGGCTCGGCTGCGGCTGGCTCCACGCGCCTCCGCGCCTCTGCCCCGGCTGCTCAGCAGCCCAGCCCTGCCGTCAGGCTCCCGCCCCCCACCCCCGCGGGCCCCGCCCCGCAGGCTTTCCAACTCCCCGTAATCTTGACCTGCTCCACTACCTGCGGGGCCCGGGGTAGTGGTGGCCAGGAGCCCCACCGGCAGGGCCACGCTTGGCCCGCGTTCCAGCTGTGGCGGCACGCGCGCCCAGGTGTGCTGGGGATGCCGTGTGAGCGCCCCGCTGCGCGCGTGCTGTTGGAAAGGGGGGAAGGCAGGCCAGGTGGGTGGGCAGGCTCAGGTCTGGGTGGAAGAGGAGCGGGGTGCAGAAGAGAGGAGGAGGGTCCGTGTGGGTCTGGAGTGGGAGTGGTCGTGGCCTCAAGTCTGAGCTCACTGCTCAGGGTCTGAGATGTGGGCTCACCTGGGTAGGACACCGATAGATGTAGTTGGAGGGGGGGGGTTATAGTAGGGCAGAGTGAAGCAAGTCCCCACCCCGTACGGTTACCTTGTAATTTCTCCTTTTTTTTTTCCTGATGAGAAAACTGAGGCTCAGGGAGGTTACATGACTGACCCAAGGTTTCACTGCCAAGTAGGGAAGAATAACTTGAACCCACCCCTTCTGATCCCTATTTTCCTAAAGCATGCACGCATCAGATACATTGAGACCTCCCCGAGACTGGCAGGGGAAGAAGCAGAATGAGTCCTGGACCAAGGCTGAAAAAGAGGCCGCTTGTGGAGATGGATCCAGCAAAAGCGATTGGAGGCAGTCAGGAAGGATGGAACCGGAAAATATCACCCTAGGCTGTACTCTTAATCTGACACAGACAGGTTTATGGAGTTCAAGGACCTGGTGAAATGGTAGACAATGTTACACATTCCCACACCTTTGGCCTTGGAGAGTCTCACAGGTCCTTGGCCAATCAAGTTGACATCTTGTGAAGAAAGAAGAGAAAATGGGATATGAGGTTAGCTTTTAGAATGGTGTTGCTGATTTCAGCCCTTTTCCCTCTGAGCTTCTCTGAACCTGTTCTGAGGCTGCTTTGAGGCTCCAAGCCTTTTCAGGACATCATGGGATGTTCTCGGCTCTGCCTCAGGCCCTGGAAGCTGCCAGGGAAGAACCAGGCACCAAGGCAGAAGGCAGGTGGGGTTGGGGGAACAGCCTGGGGAGGGTCCTCAGGCGCTCAGGGTCCTGAGGCCTCACTCAGACAGTCTGACTTTCGGGAAACTCTGTGAAGCTGAGAGATGTTTCCTGCAGCACCAGCCAACTCAGTGCAAACTTGGTGGCTGTGAATGTTCAGCACTAGCCGCAAAAGTTAATGAATCTGGGTGAATGTGGGCTCTGAAAAGGTGATTGCCAAGTCCACGTAGCCAAATGAGAAAAGCTTATGAGATAATGTTGGCGGAAAAGAAGGAAACAAAATTGTGCATTTCCTATGATTATGGCCACATTAAATGTGGATGTTTGAATGCTAGCCTACAGAGAGGCTCAGACTTGCAAATAGCTGTTGCGTTAGGGTGGTGCGCAGTTATATCACCTACCACTGCTGTGCTCGTGATTGTTATTGCCGTTTTCCCTCTGCGCCAACGAGACAGCTGAGGTTCAGAGTGATAAGATGGTGTGCCCATAGTCACCTAACAAGCATATTTTTTGGTTCTGAGTTTTTTTCAAACTCTCTGCAATGTTGTCATTTTGTTTTTGTAGTTACAATTTCAGTTTTTCACACTTTCAGCAGTGCTGTTTTTCCCTGAAGGGCTAACAGTATACAGGGTCCAGCAGAAGTAATGCCATTGAGTGTGGTTGGTGGAGTATGTGAATGTCCTGCACAGGATGGACAGCAATTTGAACATTTCACCTAAAATGTCATATGGTGTGCTTGAGTGTGATACTGTTATGCTACAGAATTGCATGCTTATGATTTTGTAATAAAATATTTTTATGTAATAAAAAGGGGTGTTATTTGTGCCAGACCCTGTGTGTACTTTTAAGTAACAAGTCCCTACCAGTGCTTCTGTGATGCTGGGCAAGTCAGCATTCTGTGCTTCAGTTTCCTCCTTTTTAAACGGGGAAGATGGTATTACTGACCCCACAGGACTGAAAATGAGATCATGGGTTTAAATACACTTTGTAAGCCAGGGAGGTGGTTCAGGCTACTCCATCCCCCAGCAGCCCCTAATCGTTGAAGTTTATGCAGTGATTCTTCCCTTCCTCGGCACTCAGCACACAGTGCCCGTCACAACCCACACATTGGCCTCTTCCAGGCCATTTGAAATGAACAAAAACCTGGTCTAACCCAAGCTAGACTCAAGTGTCAAGGACTATTAAGGGGTCCTCTACTGGGGCTCAGAGAGTGTCAGGTCTGCAGGCTGGAGTGGGGTGCTGTGCTGGTTGTCTCTAGCACACACCCACTGTGGGACTGTGGGCAAATCCCACCCTTCTTTACACCTGGCTTTATAGTAAAGACACCCATCACACTGCCCACCATGTGGTTGCAAAGTTATTTAAAAAACGTAGAGTCAGGTGGCATGAAAGGGCTTCCGTAGCATGGACTGTGATCTTGGAAACAACTCAAATGCTCATCAATAGGGGGCTGGCTAAAACAAAACAAAACAAACAAACAAACAAAAAATTGTGGTATTATTCATACTGGGAAATACTGCGAGGCAAGTACAGAGACTAGAGTTATAAAGACAGACATGGAAAGATGTCCATGGCATAGTTGTGGAGCAAACTGCTGCAGGAAACCATTTATTTCTACACCAGAAATATACACGGAGCTACTGCAAATGTCTCTGTGGGGAGGTGCTGGGTCTCTCATGTTCCCACCTCCAGCTATGCCTTCTAGGTTCTGATGCGGGGTGCTGGAAGAAGGGCAGGTTCAAGGAGCTTGCTCAGAGCAGTGTATTTATTCCCATGTGAGAATTCTCAGCCTTCCTCCCTGCAGGATGGAAAACCTGGCATGGACTTTTGGAAAATAGATTCGACCCACTGGCCCACAGCATGGGTGTGGCCTAAGGCAGGGCCCCTCCTCTCCTCTGTCAGGCAGGGCTGGTTGCAGAGCTTCACAAAAGTCTTCCATCTCTGATATTCAGGCTATAGTGCCCTGTCTCAATCTGGCTCATCAGGTGCGTCCGTGATCCATAGCAGAGAGGGTCATCAGGATGATAATGGGGACACAACAGAGTGGGGTGAGAGTTCAAGAAACTAATCCTTTCAATGACCCCAATCAAGAGTGGGCTGGTGAAAAACAAACAAAAAGAAAAATCGTGGTAATATCCATGCTGTGGGATACTGTGCAACAACCAGAGGATGCAGCAGGGCCATCTGTACTGACTTGGAAAGATGTCCCCTCCTCCCCCCCACCCCCCTTTTCAGGCAGATGAGTGAAGCTGGGGCCAGGCAGAAAGCAGATAACAAAGGCTGTGTCAGTGGGGGGACTTAGAAGACTGTAAGATCAGTAAAAAAGAGGATTAAGTTATAGACAAAATGTCACGGCTGGAATCAGGAGGGGAAAGTCATTTCCCTTTCATCTCCACCCCGCCCTACAGCCCTGCCTCAGGAGGAAAGGAGAGGAGAGGGAAGGCCTGGAGAGCAGGAACCTGTGGCAGCCTCCCTGCCTGCCTGCTCCGTGTGGGGGTGGGTGGGTGTGTGCAGGCGGGGTGGGGTGGGGGGAGGTAGTCACCTAGCAAGGGAAAAGCTGTACACGGTGCCAGAAAATCCACACATGGGCTCTTTTGAAGAAAGGTTTCCTTACCCCAAAGCAGGGCCACCAGACTGACAGAGGCATGGGACCCTCAGCCATGCTTGCGTGGGTGGATGATGCAGGAACAAGATATACTCTTTCCAGGATCTTGGCATCGCATCACGGGGGAGGCGGGGAAAGAGCTCCAAGAAAGCCCAGTGTGAACATCGTCTGCCAGCTTGGTGGAATGGGGGCTTGAAATAGAAATTAAATAAAGTTCTTGTTCCTGCCCCTTTAAGTGTTGGTTCAAGATCATCCTCATCACGGTAACATAGTTCAGAAGGGCAATTCTATGCATGACTTGGGTGCTCTGCTCACTCAAGGCCACTTGAGGTCAAACTCGGCCTCCCATTGCGTCCCCGAAAGATCCAGCTCCCCTGCCCATCAGTTAAAATTGGAGGCTTTGCTGAACTCTTCAAGGGGAGGTGGAAAGTTGTAATTTTCACACCTCACAGCAGAAACTTAGTAGAATCCCCCCATGTCTCCATGGAGGAATGGAGAGGTCTTCTCCCTCCTGTTATCTCACATCTCCTCTTCCTTTCTTCCGTACAGCCTCTTAGCCTCTATTTCAAAACATGAAATTTGTTCCCCAGAGCAATTCAGCCTTTGCATCCAGTTTGCATACCCACCCAGGGTTTCTCCAGCGAGCCTATTTCCCTGCCCAGGCTGCCAGCCATCCTCAAACCTGCTCTCTTCCGGGACGGGTAAGTAGGGGAGGGGGGAGGGTAAGATTTTCTCCCTTTTGTTTCACTGACATTTGTTGAATGCTTAGTATGTGCCATACATTTCCCCTGTTTTAAACCTCACAGTAACTCTGTTTAGTAGTTACTATTATCAGAGAAAGCGGAGACTCAGGGGAGTTAAGTCTTTTCCCAAGGTCGCACAGCTGGGGAGTGGCAGAGAAAGGATACAAAGCCAGTTGGGCCTGGAGGCAAAGCCTGTGCCGTTAACCAGTTCCCAGAGGGATGCAGGGCACGCTGAGGACTTCTCTGCTTCTGAGACTGTCCCTGACGGGGGCAGTGCAAGCCCCGGAGAACAGACCTTTAGGGAAGATTGTGTATCTCTGTGCATTCTGCCTTTTCTCTGTGTTAGAAACCGAAGGAAAGCCCCGGTCAGGGTACCGGTCGCTGGCATCAGTCAGGAGGCCAGATGGGAAGACTTGTGTGAGAGAGCTCTTCTGATGGGGGCCTCACCCTGTGGGTAAAGCTGGCAAACGAACGTGGTGATTTGCTTTGGAGACAACTGCTGGTG